GTGTAATAAGGAAGCCTGGAGTACTATGTACTCAATGGTAGATCTGGTGAATTACTGTGACTCTTCTAAATGGGGTATTTTTTTTAAGTATGCAGTGCTAGTCAAGTGATTTTATTTTTAAAGTAACTTCTCTTTATTTTTTTATTAGGCTCAAATGTTTTGGTATAAACATGTTTTGCTCACATCCCATGCTCCCTTCCTCCTCAGTTACACAGTGAGCTCACAGTTAAAGTCACAAATCCAGTGGCTTTCCCATAAGAACAGACTGGTTTTGCAAGCACAAATTTGTATTTAATTGCAGAACTAAGTACTGTCTGTGGATGGCTTTTAACACAGTCCTGAAGCTGAAAAATGCAAACTAGAAAGTTACTGAGGGAAAGTAATCTCTGTAACTGGTTTGGGTGGATATTTCCAGTTTGCTTCTAAAAAACTATTTGCAAGTCATAAAAACCTCATCATAATTTTGAAACACATTTACATGACTATGCATCAGGTCTACTGCCTGTACAGTTCTCAGTGCTTGAACAGTGAGAGTTACTGGGATGCTCAAAGACGTCAGCAATGGAAACGCTTTGTTCCTCAGCAGAATTTCAGTTCATTGGCAACATAGAATTACTGCTTTCTCCAGGCTAGTTTTTGAAAAGAAATTCCCAGTCTACACCCTGTTTGTCAATTCATGATGAAATTGTCATTCTAAAATAATTACTTGTACAACAAAGTGGTTCTTTCTTACATACAGCATGACCAAACCTATTTGCTGTCAGAAATTGGGAGTAATAACTAAAGGAAAATAAAAAGCTGTCTTTAAATGAAAATAAAAAGCAGGTAAATACAGCTTTTATAGCAACTGTCAGTGCTAAATGGCTCACATACTGGATGAAGAGACGGTATTTTTGCTTCTATTTGCCAAGGCCATATTCTAGTTTATTACACATTTGGATTTCCAGAGGAGCCGAATTTTGTGCACATCCTGAGCTTGATAAAACTGAGGAATGGGACATCACAATGTGGCTGCGGATATCATGGGATATATCTTCACATATACATCAGGCATCGCAGCCTTACACACCAGTCTGAAGTGATTCTCAAGCCTGGGTGAGGCCTTCAGGCTCCTCTTCAAAAGCCTGGGAAGAGTTAGCTAGCTTTGGGAAGGACTCCCCAGGAACTAGCAGAGCTGGAATGTGTGTAAAGTAACTTGTGAATGAAAGAAGTCTTGGGATGGAATTTAAACAGCCAGGGGCATACCTACATGATTCAGAGCTCTTGCTTCAGATGAGCTGGTATGACTGCAGCACAGGACAGGATCCTAAGCTGATAATCAGTTCAGGCTCTAGAAGCAACAGAGCTGTGATACTGTGGTGCTGAACCAAACAGCCCTCTTTCCCTGGGGCTAAATGCAGTATGATGTTTTTCACAGTTGTGCTGTTTGTGGTTCTGGAGGCAACCAAGTCATCCTTGGCTCCAGGCTGCTGATGGAGGACACTGTTGGTCCTTTAGACGGACCCAGTGAGAGTGGTTGAAAGACCATGCCTCCCTCCCCCTGAGCATTCACTTACAACAACTTTGTCTGCAAACAGAAATAGCGGAAGTTACTCTTTAATGCTATTTTTCCACCAGGGGTGCAGGAGACCTCTCATTATCTTCACACCCACATTGCTTCCCTTTTGGTTAGAAATAATTACTGACATTTTACCTGCTGTGTGGCAGTAGCAGACCTACTCCTTTCTGTATTTCTGTGCAGTACTGAATGGAAATGTGCAGGCACTTTCTGAAAAATAGCAAGGTGCATATCTGAGCCAGGTCTCAGACTATGCAGAAGCAGAAGATAAGGTGGCTTGGCAAGTTTAGCAGAGCATAACCCTTCATTTGCATGTATTCTTAATTACATAAAATAGTATGCCTCCTGAGCCTCGTGGAAAACTCTGGTTTCACAGGCAGGGAGGTTGCCTTCTGGTAAATAACCATCCATTCTGTTTATTTGGTATGTCCAATTCAAGGTACCCACAACCTTATGCAAATATTAACAAAGTCTCACAGCTTACCAGAAAACAGAGATGATCATTGTCATCATCAGTTATAGAAACTGGAAAGAATTCAAAAAAGAGAAACTGGGCAATAGTTAGAGAGGTACAGCATTCACTCCCTGGTCCTTCAGAAAGCTTAGTGTGCCTTGCCCTTGCAAGTAACATAAACCTACATTATCTGCCTTCCCCCACTTTCACTGCCTTGTCAGGCCAAGCACCTAGTTGTAGGTGTGATATAGTTGCAGGGAATCCAAATCACACTATCACAAGAGAGACTCTTTTCCAATTCATAGAGAAGAGGCAACTATTAAAACAAGGTCACAGGGCTAAATATCTCTTATAATCAGGGAAAACATTAAGAAGATACGGAACATCTTAGAGAAAGCTTTCTACCCTAGGAGACAGAGAGTAAATATAAATCACCTGTTTTGTCACAGGCAGAACAGCAGTACTGCAATCAGTGTAATTCTTATTTGTCTCCTAAAGATCACCCCACTTACCCCCTTCTCCCACAGTCTCTGAGCACTCAGGGCCATTTCCTATATGTTCCCTTGACTTCAGAAGCAAAGCTAAGCCCAAAAATCAAGCATAGAATACATTTTTAGGAAATTATGCCAAAAAATAGCTCTCAAATACTTCTAGTGATTTATTCCTACAGCAGAAATTGTTTATTTTACCAGCAGTGTTCTGAAAGATTTCTGTAAGGCTCACAGGAGAGTGCGGTGCACTACAGTAAAGCCTCAGAACTACTAAGCTTTTGTCTTCACTTCCCATCAGTAAGCCCATTCATGATGGTTAAGTGCTCAGAGGAGTCAGGTCCTAAACTATTATAAAGTATAAGCAGCAAAGGGCTCCTAGAGTCACCTGAGAACTTCTTTTAAAGGAAGTTCAGGGGATAAAGAGATGCTAACTAATGACTGTATGGTACAGTTCTGTATCATTCAGTGGTGTCTGATGCTTTAATGTGAGAACATGCAATAAATAATATAACACCATATCGTTTCTAGAGATCACAGTTCTAACATTTGTTGCTGCAGCTTGCTTTCTGAAACCTGTCTGGATGATGTCAAGTCACACACAAGTTTAATTCCCTCTTCCCCACCCCCTCAGACTTTAACAAGTATTGCTATGATTTTGTTTTCATTAAAAGCCTCAATGGTATTTATATGTAGAATTCTCCTTCAGCACAGGAGGACCCAAAGGTGAAATCAAGCAGCAGATGACAGTTCACCACAAAATGAGTAATCATTTATGTTCCAAGCTAAAATTAATACAAACAGAAAGCTCACTGTTCTAATGTCTTCATTTAGCAAATTTCTTTTTCCTTTTTTTCTTTTAAATACAGGTTTTGTAAAAGTATTTTAAGCCTTGTGGATGCTCATTTTATTTTTGTTTTCTTTGGAAAGCCTGAAGTGAAACATCTATCCTTTTAACCTGATATCTTCACTACTTGCCTTTCCCAGTGGCACAGAGGTGATTGTTACACTCCTCCATTCCATATTCTGGCTTAACCACACAGCTTTTCTAAACAGCCCCACCACTAAAATAAGCTGCAGCTCTAGACTTACACTCCTCATCACCATCACTTAGTTACTAATGAACAACTTCATTTCTAAGCAAACACACTTCCAAACAGTTGAACTGCTCCACAGTTTTCTGTGTTTATTATACTATAACTAGCTCCTTCATTTCAGTGGCATCACAGTTGAGCTCACTCCTGAAATGCAATGCTCCACCTAGGAGAAGTGCTTATTTTTACTCACATAGTTACAGAAAAAAAGTCGACACTGACATTTACCAAAATATTTCAAAGCACAAACACCACACGCTGAGCTGAACATGAGAATTCATGCCTACTAGTCATGTTTTTCCCCCTCAGAGTATGACTGAATCAACTCATGCCTGACCTGTAAGAAAATTTCCAGATCTCTGCTAGAATTATAGCTAGTAGGAAAAACTGAACATGCAACTGAACTTCTGTTCCTACACCCACATTATTACTTTGACGAAAGGATACGGTAAAACATTATGTCATAAGCTTAGAAGTTTACATATTGAAGGAAAATTCTCTACTAATGCAGCTGGAAGTCTGCAAGGAACTGCTTTCATTTCTTTCATAGACACCTGTGAAAATCCCAGTTTAGTCCCCCAGTCTAATCTGGATGCTTTTTGCTCAACAGCATTAGCAAAGTATTTGTCTTAGAATCAGGGAATCAACTAGGTTGGAAAAGACCTTTAAGATGATCAAGTCCAACCAGTATCCCACGACTGCCAAGTTCACCACTAAACCATGTCACTATGGGCCTTATCTACACACTTTCTGAACACTTCTGGGGACAGTGATTCTACCTCTTCCCTGAGCAGCCTGTTCCAATGCCTGACCACCCTTTTGGTGAAGAAATATTTTCTAATATCCAACTAAACCTCCCCTTGTGCAGCTTGAGGCCATTACCTCTTGTCCTATCACTCGTTACTTGGGAGACCAGCCACCTCCTCACTCCAGCCTCCTTTCAGGTAGTTGTAGAGAGTGATAAGGTCCCCCCAGTCCTTCTCCAAACTAAACACACCCAGTTCCCTCAGCCACTCCCCCTAAGACTTGTGCTCCAAGGCCTTCACTAGCTTTGTTGTCCTTCTCTGGACTTGCTCCAGCACCTCAATATTTCTCTTCTAGTGAGGGGCCCAGAACTGAACACAGTATGCAAGGTCCTTAGATACTGAAGTTAAAGCAGGAACATTTCTTTGCCTTCCAGAAATCTCACTTGTGATTTGGTTAGTGGTCATGACCCCACTGTTTATTGTATAAGCGAATCATAAGAATTACTGGAATTCTTATAAATCCCAAGTAAACAAAGGGGAAAAGAAAAGCCCACCTGTAATTGGACACCATGTAGCTGCATGTTAATGGACTGTTCAGTGCCCTACTGGGATATGTTAGAGTAATGCTATAGCATTATACTTGATTTCAAGAGGCCGGCAGATGTTTTGAAATGAATAAATTCTATTTATATAATTACAATAATGACTACAGTTCATACCTTATACACAGCAAGTAAAAAAAAAAACACTGGAATTTATGTAAATATTACTAATGCATACACTATGAAAAAGCAATTCATGTTAATTAAAAAACACCTTAATTTTAGAAGTTTACCAAAAACAGTTACACTGAGCATTGCAATCTTTGAAAGTAGAGCAGAAGTTGTTTACAAGGATCCAACAGAAATTGGTACCCAGCACCATGAAGCTGGACTGCAGGCTGAATGTGCACCGAACGCTGGGCTGAAATCCCCTCTTGGCTGGTTGCAGCAGCAGTCAGGCTGCTGCTTCCTATGAGCCTGGAATTTCACCCCAGTCTTTACATTCTTTGTCAGTTATAGTGGAGAAGCCAGAAGAAAGATGGTTAGAGAGCAGCCAAGTAGACTCACAGTTCCAAGAATCCCATCTTCAAGCAGCTGTAAGGTCTAGGGGAAAGGAAGGAGGTTTATAGCACACTTAAAGTGAGTCTCTAAAAATGGGGAAAGCGGCCACTTCAGTAGCAGAGCTGATGACAAGATACTGAGCATTGCCCACAGAAAGAAGCAAATCTCAGGTTCAGTCCTTGGTGAAGACACCGCCGTATTTGCCTTTGATTAGAAAGGAAGACAGGCACGGCACATTAATATGTAAGTACATGTGTCACACGGAAGACAATACAGAAGCTCATCAACTTCTCTGCATACATCAACACATTGCTAAGAAGTAAATTAGCAAAGGTTTTTAGCATTCAAACAGATTAACCTAATTTCAAATCCAACAGTACACATTCTCAATAAACAGAAAGGATGAAACTCCAGCTGATGGCTTGAAAGTGAATACTTATTTGCAAGAGATGAGTATAGAAAGACGTCATCTTTCACCAAGAGGCATTTGTTTTAAGGCAATGTCCAAAATGACAATAAAGCTACCAGAGAAGATGCTTCAGTGATGTTGGATGCTTTACGGTGCTCACATGGGTCCCGTGACCGAGGGAAGGTAGGGACTAAATTGGCCTCTGTCCTCTTCCTCCCTACCATGTGCCCTGCAACGCTGGAAATTTCTGATGTCTGTATGTTACTGGCTGTCATAAAGCATTCTAGCTTCTTCCTGTACCCCCTCAAGCCCTCTGTCACCATTTCTCTTAGCCACACTAACCACTCCCGGTGGCAAGGAAAATGCTGAGGAATTGCCATCTTTCCTTACCATGAACCCAATTAAAGAGTTGTGTTTATGCAATTAATGTAAATGAGAGATTTGTGAACATTTCCTAAGAGGGAAATGACTGCGGCTAGTCCCAGCTATGCTTCTGCAGCACCCAGAGCCCAACCTAGGGTTAGTTTTTCTTCTTTGCTATCAAAAAGAGTCAGTTTACTCACTTGTATCTCCACCGAAGAGTATTTTAGGGACAGAGCCAGTAACTTCTGAATACTCACTATATCTACTGAATGAAGAGGTAAGCAGTTTGTTCTAAATGTCCACTTCGTGGAACTCCATCATCTATTTTTAGTAACAGTTGTGACACCTGGGTATGTAGCTAAGAAATTCAGGAACATGAAGGATATTACCAGAATCGCTTACAGCGAAAGGCAAGGAGCAGAACTGCATCATAACCCTACTTTTTCATGATTTGAAGGTGTGTTAAAATGTACCAACTGAGATTTTCAGGAAATCTATTATTTGGCTTACACAGTAAGCTTTGCCTTGTGCACTGTGTTCTAGACAAAGTTGTATTTAAAAGTGGCACACAAGGTTAGGAGACTTTACACAATGATGATGAGTAATCTGTGCTTTCATAAATACAGTAGTATACATCCTATATACAAGTGCTGGCCGTGAGCCTTTGGGAAGGCTGTTAGCCAGCCATCCACAGAAAGAAGGGAATGAAGATTGTAGGCAGCGTGGTGGAGGGTGCCAAACCGAGGCAGAATATCGATGCTAATCCCACCAGCACTGAAGCAAGAACGCTCCTCTGGTCCCGAATAATCATCTTCACAGTCTCACAGAACTGGAAAAAAGAAAGAAAGAGGAAAAGATAAGGGTTAAAGAGGAAAGCTTCAACCGGACAGCTGAAGATGCACACTCCTTCCCTTAAGAACAGGCAGTCGCCACCCGGCTCTCCCGCGGGCCCGGCTTTGGCTCCGGCCGCAGCACTGAGCTGCTTCCGAGCATTCTAAGAGCACAGTAATTGTATTATGAATTCCTCTCTGCTCTTCTCGCACCTGAAGCCAACAGAGCCCCGCCGAGCAGCGCCCCGCCGAGCAGAGCCGCCTGCTCCGGGAGGACGGCCCCGAGCAGCATCCTGGGGGTCCGGCTCTCACTTAGTTTGGGGGAGCGGAGGGCCCGAGGGGCAACCGCCGCCGGGAAGGGCCGTGCCGTGCCGCTCCCGGCCGCCCGTCTGCAGGCAGCTGAGCGCCGTCGCGGATCGCGCCTCCCCGGCGGTCGCTCGGGCCATACCTTGTCGGTCTGGAAACTGACGGGGGACCCGTATCGGCAGTAGGTGACGAAGTGCTCGCAGTTGTTCCAGAGCAGGCTGTAGGCCGTGGCGCCCACCAGCTTCTCCGCCCGGCGGGCCGCCTCCTCGCTGCTCAGCACCTGGTCCTGGAACAGGCGGTCCATGTGGTTGACGAGGATGCTGCCGCCGTAGGCGAAGTCCTCCACCGTGTCCACGCGGATGCTGGCTGTCTTGGTGATGACGCCCAGGATGAGCCGCTTGTTGGTCACTACCTGCTGGATCTGCCGGCGATCGCCGGTGAAGGCGGGCAGGATGTCGGGCATCAAGTGGGCAACGCGGTTCTCGCCCAGGTAGATGCCGAAGTGAATGAAAAGGGTGCGGGGCACCTCCAGCAGGTCACCCCGCTTGAAGCAGCTGGTGTCGTAATAGGTGGGGGCCGGCGGCGGTTCCCCGCCGGAGCTCGAGGGCAGGGGCCGGACGTGGACAAGGAGCAGCAGCTTCTCCAGCAGCAGCGACGCTACCTGAGGCACCGGGTTCTTCATGGTCGGCGGGGGGAGCCCTGGCAGCCGCCGAGCAGCCCCCGCCGCCCGCACCCGCTTTTCTAGGCTACCGGCCGGGGCGGGGCGGGCGCCTGGGCCAGCCCACCGGGGAGCGCCCGCCCCGACGAGCCGCCACGCTTCACCGGGGAGCCCACCCGGCTCACCCCCCAGTCCGGTCCCGGCTCGGCTCTCGGGGGGGGCGCGGTGGACCCTGGGGCCGGCCGCCGCCTGCAGCAACCCCCGGTACTGCCCAGGTAGAGAAGGGCAAGACAAAGTGCGCTCAGCGACCTTCAGCCGCCCGGGCAGCGCCGAGGCGGGCTCTCTCCCGGGACTGGGTCCGCCTCGTTCACCTTTCCCTGCTGACGGGACCCAAGTGGCTCCAGGCAGCGCCCCGCTGAGCCCCGCGTGGCGAGGGGAAGGGAGGGAGGCGGGGGACTGCCGCGGTGCTCACTCGGCGGCGGGCGAGGAGCGGAGCGGTGGCCTCGGAGCGCGCCTTTCTTCCTCGGAAGAAAACAGGTCTCCGAGGGAGAGAGGGAATCCACATTCACGAATTAACTCGCCCGGCTGAAAAAAGAGTGGGAACAGGCGAAGAGGCATTCCCGCGCGTTTTGTTTCACGCTGATCCATTATGTAAATGGCTAAATCCTGGCAACGGAGCCCACAAAAGAGCGGCCCTGTCAGGCCAACAAAGCCAGCCCATCCCAGGCTGATGAGGTTCGAATTCCCGCCCCCTCGGGGACCGTGGGATGATGGATGGGGTAGACATTCATCTTACCTGGAAGATGACAGGGCCCGGCGAGTGGCACGGCGGGAGGGAGGGGGCCGCATCCCCGCTGCTGTTGTTCGTGCCGCAGACAGCCCCGCTCGGCGGCAGGGGAAGCGCTCGGCCCCGTGGGAAACACGGAGTAAGAGGGGTAGGGGGTGGGAGCACTGCCGGAGAAGTGGTTTGTTGGAGCACCTTACCCCAAAGCCAGCCCCAGAGCTGCCAGCGCCCCGCGTCTGCTCGCCGGCGGGCAGGCAAGGCAAGACACGCGGTGCCAACAGGCAGCGCGAAGGGAAGCGGTGGTGTGGAACAGCCTATTCCTTTTCCCAGGCAACCCTATTGACCACCAAGCATTTTTATCTCCTCGGTGACTTTAAACCCGAGAGTCTGTGGATCACGAACGAGGTGCCTAGACCGCTGTCGAGCTGTAGACCCCCTTCGGTCATACTAGAAAAGGAAGAGAAAGGTTCTCCATCCCTTTTCCTTTCCATCAGGGTACAGCTCTGGTGTGAGCAGAAAGGCAAAGTGGATGTGAAGGATCCAGAGTGCGAGAGCTTCATACTACCATAGATACCGAACCAAGGTTTCAGGCTGGATCTTGTGCACAGGGAAAATGAGGCTTATTAATGACCCAAAGCAAGTTTTACACACCTTTGTGAATACAGTATTTCAGGGAAATGGGTTACCTCACTGCTTGCAAACAAAAACCCGTGGCTGGTGTTGCCCTCCTGTTTCCTCCTGCTTGCAGCAGAGTGCAGCTTCCCAGAGGACTGAAGGCTATCCTCACCTTGCTTCATCTGCTATGACAGACTGGCCATAACCTCTTGTTTGGTTGTTGAATACAGCCCAGAGCCCCAGCACCTCTCACCAGAGCGATCGGGTAGCTGGGATTTTCTTTGGAGAGACTCAGCCAAGCTTTTATGCAACAGAGGCTCACCTCAATCAAACCCCCTACTTCAAATTGTGTCACTTATGAAAGAGAAAATACTATAGATGTGGCTTGTGATGCTGGTAAGAGCCCTGAGCATTAGCCACCAGCCTGCATAATTGCATAATTGAGAGAGCTGCTTTCATTCAGAATCAAGATGTTTAAATGTATTTGGAAGGTTTGAAGCTTTTGCTACTAGTAAACAAAAACAGAGGCGGGGGAGGGAGAAGGGGAGCGTTTCTCATTTTAAACTAGTGCATATTTTTAAGGGACAGGGGAAAAAGAAAAGATTAAACCCCCTCATCATGGTAACAGGTCTCACCCATCTGGCAATGGTCACAGCACTGGAGCACTGTGCCATAGCCAGAAGGTTATCAAAGCCTCCACAGAAAGTCCTGGCACAGAAAGGATCCTGTCTCCTTCCTGCAAGGATAAGCACTGGTCCTGCCCTGGGCTGCCATCTCCACACACCCACCCCCAAGATGTCAAGGGAGTGCCTGGATGAGCGTTGCTGAAATAGGTGCTAAGAGATACTTCAGTTCTACAGTTCAGATTTCTCTCCCCAGCCCAAAGGAAGGTAGAGGAATTCGGCTGAACTGGCAAACACAGGCAGCTCCCAATGGGATCTTTTACTTTGAGGCATCCTTTGTTTGCCTCCTTAATGCCAGCTAGCTTTAATCCCCAAAACACTAGGGTCCATTTCAAGTAAATCCGGAAAGGAAATCAGGATGAAACCAAAGAAGAGGAATTGCCACGAGGAGGAGACTCAGATTCTTACTACATGGGAGGGTTTCAAAGGACTAAGATGAGAGCTGTGACAGTTCTGCAGTGTAATTTCCTCATACCCGAGGCACTAAAGACCCTCCTCTCCCTCCCCCATGACTACTCACTCATTCTCAGGCTCAGACAAGACAAGCGTTAGGGGCAGCAGACATGTCTCCAGTACAGCCTCACTTTTCCAGCCAACACACATCCCCACTAAGGGAAATCCACTCAGATACTGCCTCACCAGTACCTCACAATGGTTGTGAGCATCCCCGACTGAAAAGCACTTCAAACAAGAAGTCATTTCTGAATGAAGCCATTCAGATTCCTGAATGGCAACCTGCAACACAACACTTTCTGCTTTCAAACCTTAAGGGCTGCAGTCCTATTACTTTCAAACTGCCATGATGCAAAGTGAAATCTGAAAGGTATACTTACAGATATTTTTCCTCTGCTCTGGTCCCTCCTATTCTAGTGGGAAAATGGCTTCACTGGAGCTGGCTCTACTGAAAATACACTTTTGCCTGGCACATCCTTTATCTTGGGTCACTTTTGTATAATAAGCTATGTACTTTTAACACACAAATTGCAGTGGGGAAATCACTTTGAAATACTAGCAAACATTGACAAAGTATTTGCTTGGACTGTTAGCTGCTATAGAATACTTATAATGATAAACCCCATGATTTACTCTGAAGAGTTAGGTGAGATGCAATAAGAAAGTTGTGAGAGGTAAGAGAATGCAGCCTTTGTTTTGTAGAGTGGATGAGCCACAGCATGAAAACATCCCACATAAGAGATGTAAGCCAGTTTCCACTGCACTGAAACTTATATTATATAGAACCTTATTTTATACACTAGGCACTACTATCTTCAGCCTGCCCTCACAGCTAATGCAGCAGAGAAAAAGCTGGAAAGAAGGCACTTGAAAGGGTAAATTCTCATCCATGTGAGGAACAGCCTTAGTTTAACAAGCAGGCAAAACACTTTTAAGCGACTGAGGTCAAACCAATGCTGACTACGTACACACTCATGTTCAAGCACAATGTATGTTTTACCAAACCTTTCTCAATTCCTCAGCCTCTACTGTAGATTAAGAAACAAGTGCAGCTTTAACCAGCTTTCAGGTCAGCTGGGATTGCTGGAACAAGTATAGGTTCATGAATTCAAAACATGTTAAGGAGGTCAAGGAGAACAAAATCCTTGGATAGGCATTTTTGGAGGCTGTGATTTGCAAGAAAAGTATCTGAAAAGCAATGCCCACTTGGTTTAAGCTGCTGCACTGAAAGAAATAATGGGACAGAAAGCATGTTTGTGAGGGATGGTTTCACAGCATCCAAAAGGGCGATTCCAGAGATAAAATAACTCCTTTGTATTCCCATATCTAACCCATTTGAAAACTGTACCGTTCTTTTCAGCTAATTGCCGCTCCCATTGTAGAGCTGTAAATGACCAGCTCTCCAGAAAATAGTATCACTTACTTTTTCAGGTTTTGTATTTAACAAAGACCAGGGACAGAACAGATAAAACCTGAAGGGAGAAGGGACCTAGCAAGACTGCATGAAACTGCAGGCAAATGAAACAACCCCAAAACAAAGAACCTTTGAACTAAGTATCACTCTCTTCTTCCAGTACAAGAAACAACATAAATGACTGCAACAAATCTGTTCTTTATAAATGTTCACTTTTATTCAGAAATGATTGCATATACATTTACAGAGTCACTTTAGCAGCATATTGAGTGAACTACAAGTACTTACTGTAGCCTTTTTATCCTTGTAGGATATCCTTGCTACTGAAGTCTACCACTTTTTCATTTCCTCTCAATACCTTTGTCTGTTTTGTTAGGCTTCCACATTATTAACAAGAATTTTCTAACAAACAAGGACTGTAAACATAAAACCAGCATGCTGGTTATTAAGCTGGATATTTTTCTGCAATGAAATGACTCATTTTTACTAGACAGAATCATGCTGTATACATAGATCGTACTTATGACTCGCTAAGAGAATAGTATGTTCAGTTGGATAAAGCATTAATTTATGATATCTTCAATGCAAATGAACAAAACCACAGAAAAGCTGGGAGTAATTCCTTGTATAGTCCTCATTAGCAATCAGAAGGCTAGGAAATTAGTATTAGGGGTAGCACAGACAGATTTAGGGATGACAGGTATTTCGGTGACAATTTAAAATATCTTTCATAATTTTATCTCATTTGTCAGCACTAACAATTAATAGTCTCCCCAAAATAAAGGAATATACTGATTTCTGAATACGTAACACCTGCACATGTGGAGTAATATTTCTGTGGCTTCTGCAGAAGAAACACACATCGTTGTTGGGCCAGAACTTCCAGCCTGATACTGTCCCAGGAAGTATGATATGAACTTTTAAGTCTCTGCTTAATGAGGTGAAGTAGTTTAGGAGTACTTTAATTTGAACATGCTAGTCATATTGTGTAGGAAGGGAGATGGGGAGGTCATAGCTGGGAGTCAGAAGAGAGATGGAGCATGCTACATTCAGCATGTTATTCCTTCACAGCAGGAGGCAGACCTTTCTGTGGGAAAGGGAATGCAAATGACAGCCAAATGAACTTAATCCAGGCAGGATTCTGCTGCACAAAATGAGGATTTAACAGCCCTGAAACAAAACGAGGTATCCCCCTGCCACCCAACCCCTTTCCTCCCTGCCAGGATGGCACCATCACAAGAGAGCACAAGCAGGCAGACTATCCTTTCCTCATCTTCAGAATTAATCCCACACTAAAATCTGCAATTTCTTAATAGTCAGTGCTTTCAATCAACATATTAACTAGTAAGAGATATTGTAAAATATAATAATGAAGCCTGTCATTAGCTGGACAAAGTGCTGGAAGTTTGGTGGATCACCATCAAAGGTCGGCATTTACTACCAGTCACTATATAACAACAGCAATTATAACTTTCCTTTATTGCCCCACAGGGAAAGCTGTTCCCCAGTACCAGACCGTGCTGACTCTGCAGCAATGCACAGCACGTTATCCAGCCTCACTCTGTGCACAGAACAGCTGATAGGCTTGCAACTAGATCAGTCCATTTAATTTCAAATAAAGACTGACAGAAGGAAAAGAGAAATGGACTGAACAGGATGTAATTTCCATCTTTGAACAAAGTTTATCTTATTATTAAATGTTATGTTGCAATTTGATTAATTCTATTTTACAGAAAATAAATTAATTCTTCATCCAATGTATTATCTGGACGGGAAATGTTATCAGTCACAGACCAAGCTATTAGTCTCATATTACTTAAAACATTTGCTAATCTGTGCATATAGCTAAGCCTCTGAGAGATAACTGTCACCAATTTCTACTCTTTAAGAAAAAAGAATATCTCAAGAAGCCAGTTCTTGTTTATAACATGTTTTGATACCACTCAGTGTTAAAAGCATATGTATTAAACACCTGTTACTCTATCAGTGATTTTAAATCAGGAACATTTTTAATCTGGAAATCCAACAGCATCTGTCCAAGTGCTTTGCCCTGTAAGAAAAAAAACAAAACCAACATTTCATTTTACTACCTTAAATATACCACCTCTGTAAATTAAATTCATAAAAATGGTTTAGTAAGGTATTTTTCCTATAGTCAGGGTGAGAATTCAGTATGTTTTGTAGGTTTTATGAATACTTATCTCTAAATATACTATTACATAAATTTGGGGTGAGTTTTTTCAAGCCTTAGATTGTAGGCTATCCAAACTTCTATTTATCTTTTCCATTTATTTGGCTTTCTCACTTGTGAATCAGTATAGCTAAATAAGAACTACACAGCTGAATTTCCAAGCATCTAAACCTGAACAGACTGAATGGTTTCTTCAACTTATTTGGTACCTAGTACTAAAATCAATTTATTTGGGGTTCAGTTCTGCTATCTGATTCATACATAGCATCATCTTATTTTGCGAACAGTTGTCTTGACTATGCTGAATTTATTTGTGGGCATAAGCATTTCTCAGCCTATGGTGGCAGAACTGTGCTTTGCTGTAGCTACAGGATTGCCTCATTAAGAGCTCTCATCTTCAGGTTTAGATGTTTCAAATATTTAACACTGAAATTGTACGCTTGCAAAAATAGTTTTGCATTCACGTATCATCAACAAAAGAGATCGCCTATCCATCTATTTCTATCTTTCATATTTATATTAATTATCAGTGCTTTAACTATATAGGCTAAGCTTGAGGAGCTCTTGTACAGTTAATGGTTCCTGTATACACTTGGAAACATTTAATCAGAATTGTCTAGTAATTTTGCATTCTCCGGAACAAGGCAGCCTTTCCTGAGAAACTAATTTTGCTGGTGCATCTAAGCACCAGCAGCACACCGTAAAAAGCTTACCTGATTCAAAGACTCTCTGAATAGTTCCTTGTACACATCCTTTTCACCAAATACTCTAAATACCTTTCTACTTCCCTAATTCTTTTAAGGTTTGAAAACAACATAAGTAGATAATGTATATAAACAGGAAATTAAAAGGAACTAAAGAATTAAAGCCAAAAGCTTAACAGTTCCAGCTCAAAAGTTGATTATAAAGAGACTGTTTAATACACAGGTATTAAAGGTAATACTAAAATCAATGCTTTGATACATGCCTGTGGGTCACTTCTTAGAGATGCTATGCCACCACCACCAAGGGAATTCTTCAGAACAAAATTTAATCCATGGATTCCTGGCAACTCGTATCTGTAAAATAAAATCCACACATTGCTTCTCAGATTTTGTAAGAAACATTTGCACCCATCACCAAGCAAAAGACAGCATGCAAAAATTCCATGCTATTGATGGCACCCCACTACTGAGTCAAGCCTAAAAGTTAAACGAAAATGAACCCATCATCTTCCCTCCCTTCTTGTTCCTTCCCCTTACTCCAAATCAACAGTCTGTAATAGTTTTACAGTAGTACCATAAAGTAATTATTCTCCTCTTATTCAAGTTCAGAACGCCTTCATCTGTCATGAGGTGGCTTTCTACTCTTCCCCCCAACCCCCCCAAGAGTTGAAGCCCATACAGAAAGCTCCGTAGACAAGAGGGTCAAGATCCAATATGAACTCAGAGAACACAGCACCCAGAGGGAAGTATTGTTAATATTTTCTAGTTCTGTAATGAAAAGTACAATTACTTAATTCCTGGAACTCACTTTTGCCAACAAAGGCCGCCAGCTCCTTGGTAATGTGTCCCCTTTATTACTGAGAAATAACTATGAGTCACTAGATCGAACCCTTAACTACAGATAATAGCAAATGAAAAGTACAGGTACACTTCAATGCTTGCTTGCGGCCATGTACTTTGCTCAGATAAAATTTTATTTCAGTGTTACAGACCTATATTCCTGTTCCATTGCCACTCTAAGCATTTTTCCATCCTTGCTTTTGACTGGTGCATTTCCAATTTGGAAGCTTTCATAGAAGTTGGAAAAATGGCTCTGCGGTTTCCTAACAAAGTTATTTCAAATTCTATAAATAGATCTACAGCATATTTCCATTTGCACAGATTTTCAGTGTTTCGTCATCTTCCTTGTATTATTGTTTTTCTTCGCTTTTGCTTTCCTCCAATATTTTCTTTGTCTAAGGACTTGATAGCTTTCCCTTTTTTCCATAGGAAAAGGATTTAATCAGAATGTGACATGAAGAACAACTGAGAAAGATTATATCCAGTTCTTGCTCTGTCTCCAGATGTGTGACTGCTGCAATTTGAATCCCACTTCCTCCACCACCACCTATTTTTCTTTAGTCATCTATCTGATCTTTATCAGTTTAAGATGGATCCCTCCAAACCTGCTCTCTGAAATAGCTGGGATTCGTGCAGTGCTCTTGTACTGCTGATTTTGTCATTCTGAGGTTAATCTTTTTCAGCTCCTTTTTAGCATTGTAAAAATTACAGCTTTCTGATATTCACCACCCTTGTATCTTGGGCATATGACCTAAACCTCTCCTGGAAGGAGATGATTCCGCCAAACACTTCAGTTCTCACTATGCTCTTGCAAACAGTAGTTGTGGAACGTCTGCACCTACCTGCTAGGCAAGACACTGTTTTCACTGTTCCTTGTACTCTTTCATTATGTCCTGGTTTTAACTGGGATGGAGTTAATTTTCTTCCATGTAGCTGGTGCAATGCTGTGTTTCAGTCTGAGAACAACGCTGATAACAAGCCCATGTTTCAGTTCTTGCTAAGTAATGCTTGCTCGAATCAAGTACTTTTCAGTCTCTCATGCTCTGCCAGTGAGGAGGGGCACAAGAAGCCAGGAGGAAGCAGAGACAGGACACCTGACCCAAACTAGCCAAAGGGGTATTCCATACCACAGCACGTCATGCCCAGTACATAAACTGGGGTGGAGTCACCCAAAAAGGACCAATTGCTGCTCGGGTTCGGCTGGGTGTATCAGTCAGTGGGTGGTGAGCAACTGTGCATCACTTATCACGATAGTCCCTTTTGGTGCCCAACGTGGGGCACGAACGGCTGAGATAATGACAGATCTGACCAGAGCGTGTCAAAACATCATAAACATTCACTGCATCGGTTTAATAGTCACTGGCCACAGTGTTGATCTACTTGCTCTCAAGAGCTGTTGCATTACATAATACCTTACATGCAGCATGCATTCCCTGGAGTGATGTTTGTTATCTTTGGGGCCTGGCCTAAGATTATCATTCTGCTGTACTTTGTAACACTGGGTTTATAATATGATAGAGTTGCTGGCCGTGAAACTAATCTGGTATGTGTAGTTAGCATTGCTGTCACCGCTGTACTTCAGCAGTCATCTATTGGGAACTGCTAATAATTACGCCTTTTGCCTTTTCTCCTTGGAGATCCAGCCTATGGGGGAGACATCTTCCTACATCTTCCTTCTTTCTGACATCTTTGTTCTCCTCCAGGCTGATTACAGTGCTTGAGAATTTTACCATGTTTGTTTGCTACAGTGTTTGAGAATTTTAAGGGTTTTGAAAACCAACTCTGGCGACAAGCACTGCAGCCACTCCAACCCCCAACATTACCACACTCTAGTATTATAATTGTTAGTTACTATTAAGAGGAAAAGTGGTGTTAGCATTCGGCTGACCTTCCTTCAAAACTAGTTGACAGGAAACACTATCAATCATGTTTAAAGGCAAATCCAGTCAGAAGGCAGGAAAGTTTGATTAATCTAACAGTGCTCTACTAGACAACAGGAATACAAGGAATAAAGCAATTTCCACAATAAGTCATTTACATAATTTGCTAAATGTAACAGCATAATCAACTACAAAGCAGGATCGAAGACCCCACAAAATTTTCAACCGAGAAACTCAATGCAAATTACCAAGAACCATATACTATGAAAACTAGAGGTCTATACTGTATTACCATACTATACTGTAAATCTTACTCTGAAAAGCTAGTGAAGACTTCCAGGCAGCAAGCAATCTCACAGTTGGCAGATCTCTCCATAAGAACTTGACTTACGGAATATGTATTACAGAAATTAATACCTCAGCTCTCAAAAGAAGCTTCATGAAAATCAATCATTTAAACAAATCATGAGAGAAAAGAGTGTACAACAGCAGAAGCACACGAAAGAGTGGAAAAATTTCATTTCACTTTCTGCAGTCATTCTGGCAAAGGGAATATATAACACAAGCAACAGATCTTTGTTTTCAACGTCAGAATGGCACATTCATTTAAGTACTTGGAGGAAATATTTACAGTAAGATCCTCTAGCTAAAAACTAGGATTACAAAATTATATACAAAGATCAACATTTTCAATATTTTAAGTCCTGGTTGAAGAATCTGAGCATCCAAAATATTTCTGCACAATAAATACACTCCCACAATAAAAAAAAAGAAAAACCACTATAACCATCCTAACACAATACATTAACCAAACTGTTGACATGCATGTACCCATTATAATTTAATTTAATTAACTGAGATCTAAAGGAAGAAAATACTATCTACTTGTACAATTCAATCAAAAATTTTAAGAGCTCCTTTTAAAAAGCCCAGAAAACAAATAAATCCTTCAAAGAATACCAAGTCTGTGACAGGAACCAGTAAAACAAGGAAAATTCACTGTTCTAGCTGAGCTCTTATGCACAATGGGGTGCCTACTTAACTACTTCCTTCAAAGTGCTGTCCGTACATATACAAAAAAGTCAGGTTTCCCTGTGAACTTCCTGTTAAAATGCATAGAAATAGTAATGTCATTTAAACCAAGGAAAAGATAGAATTCCTTCCATCAGAGGAAAGCAAGAACTGAGTCCATAGGCTTAAAGAGGTGCTTCCATATGAGATATACTACAGAAAGGTATTTTTACTCCCCAATAATAAATATACTTAAAAAAAAAAAAAAGGCAATCTAGAAGCATCAGTACCCTCATTTCTCATTCTTCAGCTCTTAGTAAAAATATCCCATAAGAAGAAATTATCTGTCATTTTTATTTCTGAGTAATGGGATGCTCAAAACATAAAGAAGGTAACTGTATTTCAGAAGATGAAGCCAGCAAATTCTCAGAGGATATTTTTACTGTCCTTCTTAAGTGACTAACCTAGTATCACTAAATTAAAAGTTTCTTATTCCATATTTTAAGATTATCAGATCTTTTACAAATGCACTCTACACAGGGTGGGGAGCAATCACATAGGTTTGGGGTTTTAGGGTATGGGGGTGAGTGGGTTGAAAGACCACCTTTTGTTACTATGTTACCTGAAAATCTGGAAGTTTAGGAGCTTTCACTGTTCTCTATCAAAATAATCCCACCTTTTAGCTGTTCAGTACACCTATTTAACAGTTTTAATGAGAAACAATGAAAGGCAACTGGTTCTGTAGAGAGGCAGAGCCATGGCTGGTATGGTTTTAGTAGCAAAACTAATATATATTTCTTAACCACTCAATTTTAATAAAATAATTGAAGGAAAATGAAAGAGTAAGATAGCTCTTTTTAGGACAGTTAAAGCTAAAATATAAAAAACTAATTTAAAAAGAAACTATACAATCTGAAGCACATGAGCATAATCCTTATAATCCTAAATATTTCCACAAAAGGATTTACTAGTAGTTTTTCAACTCACTCACAGAGCTCCATTATCACATCATTAAAAGAAGCCAAACCCAGGAACAGATAATCTAATTAATCAAAATAAATTGGCTTCATCCAGACACAGCAAACTTAAAACTTTTATTTATGAACATAAACAACATTAAGGAACAACAATGAATCAATTTCTAGAAGTATCATTAAGAGGCTTGACATTTTTGATCTCTTCCCTTCTCTGCTGTTTCAGAGGAAATTCAATTACATTTCTCAGTATCACAATTTATCAGACACATAGATTTGTTAGCACTTACGAAACAGTGGGTGAGATCTGCACTGAGCCGCTTATGAAGACAAAGAACAGCACTTACAACTCAAAGATCAGGGGTTAAAACAACTCAAAGCTCTCCCTGAGCTCTGAGGTGCACCCTTCTGACTCAAGCTCTTTGAGTAAGCAAAAGGACATTTAACAGTTTATCTGCTATCAATGGAAATACGTAATTTTGGCAGAATCTTCACATTTGAAGAATAATTGACTTTGTTATCAAAACATATTTTAGAAGACTAAATGTTTTGTTGCAATATTAAGCTTTTGGGTTTTTTTGAAGAGGAAAAGATTTAAAATCTGTTCACTGTTTTATTGGACATCCTTAGGAGAATGAGCCCCATTATCCTACAACATCCTACAATAACAGTGTATGTCTCATTTGCTCAGGAAGGACCCTGAGCATCAGGTGAAGATATTAGGAAACCAAAAATGTTACATATGCTGTCTGCTGGCAGACAATATTGTTTTGTAGATGAATACAAGGTACAAGTGCCCTGTTTGCAATGTATTCTCTTTCATATTTTAAACAGGGAAATTAGCTGTGCATTTGGGGTTTTTTCCATTAAATTCTGGCTTGGTATGTATTGCAAAAAAATGGGTCAGAGTGTGGTACTCAAAGGAATACTTTCTCTCAAGTAAGTGAACTTCACAGGATGAGGCATGTGTCTGATGGCTGTGATAGGATTTTGGGGATTTCAAGCTGCCAGTTCTGCAGTGGCTGAGTCTTGGGAAGCTTCAATTTACTAAGGCTCCTGCAGTCTTGAAATGGTTAAGGAACAATGGAGAGCTAAATTTCTCAGAGGACGTTAAGTTATTTTTATCTGGTAGAGACATTCTGTACTGGAACAGAACAAAAAAATAGCCCCAACACTAGTACGTTAATTCTGGGAATTTAAATACCTTCACTAAACTGCCTTTGTCCAGTTTCAGGAGAGGCCCAAGCTCATGTTCCTTTTTTAATGACTATAGTTTAAGTTACTATTTGAAATGGCAAAAAAAAAAATACTGAAGACAGTACCCATGTTTGCACTATTTATGCTAACAAGCTACTCACCTTGTTACTAGTTCTTCTTCAGGTTTTTCTTGCTCAAAAAGGTGTTGGAAGTAGTTCTTCAGGGATTGAGCAGTTAAAGTTTTCTTTAGGTATGGATAGTAAAGGGGATGCCGTGCTATCACACCTGTTGGGTATAACTGGTGCTAGTTAGAACAGGGGTTGTTAAAACCAATTTGTATTTATACTTTCAAAACCGATCTGTGATCCTCCTTTTAACTGAAATCGTACATATGGATCCTCTATAATGAGCTCTTGAATAAAACACAACAATATGACAGTTTTCCCTCTATCTGTAGAGGTAGTGTGGAGCATGACATGAAAGAACGCTCCCACACTGTGACTGTTGGACTTTTTCTGGCTGCAGTTCCTGCCACTGAAAAGACACCTGAAGAACAACACTGACACACAACAAACAACCCACAGGCAGTTCTCTTCCACTAAAATGTTTGCAAGACTTGGACAAGTAACTGCAATTAACCGTAACAAGGAACCATCAGTGACTGAAGGTTTGGTCCTTGCCCCCCTCCTAAGCATGAAATCCTGATGTGTGAGAAGTTACAGTTTTATTGCTGCTAATACGCTTTCATAAGCTTCAGGTTAACTTTATGCTGAAGCTGAGGCTCCACAGCAGGATCAGGAAAGCAGACTGGTGTCACAAGAATCTTTTTCTCTGTGGACTTTGAAGCCAAATTAATCTTCAAGGTCAAGTTTGTTGTTGTTATTGCTGTTCCTTAATAAAGCAGTAGTGTCTTTATATCTGAGGAAGTCTATTAGCTATGCATCATTCATAATCTGGCAATGCTATATTGCAACAGTGGCCAACCACGAGTAAAGAAAAAGAAAAAAGGAAATAATGAAGAATAATTATTAATAACAATAAACAATAATAAACAATAATAATCCATTCATTAACCCCAAAACCAGTTTCACAAGCAAGGAATAAAAAACTATATCCTTAAATATAAATGAATAAAATTCATCATTTTTAGCGTGACAGCAAATTAACCCCCAAACGCACCTTTAATTCATACCGAGCTTTGAACACCATACGCTCTCATCTTCCAACAAGTAAGAGAGCCAATTGTTGCATGCAGAAGTAAGGAATAGAAGGAATTATTAAACAATGCAAGAAGCAGCACATGAAGGTAGAGAGATGCACACTTAAATAAACCACTTGGATTAACAGTATAATAAAACCACTCTCTTACATGCAAGAATAACTGGTATTTCCAAACACTGTTGGTATTTTAGCCATATATATGTCACAAAATTCATGTATGGAAATATTACAAACAATCGAACAACCAAGAGACTACATGACACAATATATCTGCGAAGGAGTAGCAAGTGACATGTAAAGGAAACCTTAAAAAGGCATTTTTTAACTTAATTTCTTAACTTTGCAGATTTTTCTTTGCATGTATTTTTTTTTCATGACATTCAAGTATTATTTCTTAGAACCTTAGATTTCAACAACCACTGAACATAAAACTACTGGTATTTCATTACTAAAATCCTTTTTTTATATATATTTGTTGTTTCAGCAGAGACAATTAAAAATACCCCACAAAAATCAAGTGATGCGAGAGATTTACAAAAGAACAGCCTTGATACTAAAACTTATGTGAAAATCTTACATCAGTTCAGAAAGCAAGAAAAATACCTATGTTTGCAGAGTTGCCTTTGCCTCCACTTCTAGTATAGGCAAGATCTTCTAAGCGGTAAGTATGTGGACCACTTGGCAGATCTATACAACATAAAAATGAATACATTTAATGACAGCTGCAAATAATAGGACATTTTTAAGTAGTAACTGTCATTTTAAGTGTATACTTTCTGCATTGTTTGTAGTATTCCCGAAAACATTTCTCTAAAGCTTTCTTCCCGCAGGAACATCTAGAGAACAAGAGGTGAGGCTGACAGCTAAAACTACAAAATCGATCCCTCTTGTGCCATCTCCCAAATCCCTATTATCTTTTTTACAGCTGAATGCTGTGCCAGGCATCATCTCTTCCACCACCTTTGAATATGAAAATTCATCTTGATCTTAGCGATGTGGTATCTCTGAAGGAGGCGTAGCAGCTTCCTGTCATTTCTTGACTAGGTTACAACTTAGGTCCCCTTAAATCTCTCTGCTTCCAGTGCAGGTGGAAAGCACATGTAGTTGTTACCATCCTGATAATTGTGTAAGGTCTGTTTATTCTGACAGTGTCTGTAGAGAACGGTCACAATTTAAAATACCTTTTAAAGACACCAGGTGTAGCTGACTTTCACAGCCACTTATAACAGTTACTAATTCAGCTGCATAGAAGAAATTCAAGATTTCTTTTTCAAATTATTAATTTTGTAAATATCTTAGTATTATCTAAGAAAAGGTCATAAATGCGCTAGAGGAAGCCAACCTTATTTTTTTAACCTGATGTCTGAAATTGGAATTTCAAACCTTTAGGAACATAAAGATTGTTGTGTTTCATTGAACAGAATTCATATTAGGTATTTTTATCAATTGTCATCAATACATCAAAAAAGCAAACCCACTCCTGCCCAAATGCAGAAGAGTTTATATGTGAAGGTTGATGGTTAAGTTACACCGCACAGACCTCTTGAAATAACTAAGATTAGTAGGCTGTCACCATTTGATTTCTGTTTCCCAAAGCAAGAGATGAAGTGATCACTTTGCCACCGAGTTTCAGTTGTTTGCTGATAGGACTCATCTATACTCCTGCCTCGTTTCAGACTTCCCATCCCTCAGTTGCCTTCCTCTTTGACCCCCTCCTGCCGTTTCCTGATCCTTCTGCACAGAAGTAGCAGCTCTTCCCTCTCTCTGCTCTCAGACACCAGTAGGGGGAACATTTGGAGCAGAGAAGCAACAGCCTTCCTGCTCTGTCACAACTTCAACCAGAAACATGCCATGAAACTTCTCAGAAAGTATTAAAGATTGTATTTATTTAATTGGGGAATATTACTTTTGATTAACCATCTCCATTGTGAGAGAATCTGAAAAAGTCCAGCTAAAGCTCACTGTTAATTTTGGAGAAGACTACCACACTTCACACACCACAGAAAACACATTATTTTTAATAAATTCATTCAATACACCCCTAAAGAAGAAATGCAGTCCTTCTTCAAAGGCTAAAGTATGACAGTGTTTAAACTGTATAAGCTGTAGAACTCTTTTCTCCATCAGACATTTTACACAGACAGTCTTTGACAGTCTCTCTTTAAACAAAACCAGTTCAAGGCAGTGTTCTGGTGTTCTCATTATTACCCTAATTGATTTATCTTTCATGATCTGTTTATCAGGAAATTGTTTTCATTTAATAAACATCTTAAACAAATCGACATAAAGAATTCCCTCCAAAGCTAGGGCAAATGGTGAATTCAAATTCCACCCTTCCAGAACCACATCCAGCAGCATTTTTGAAATCCATTTTCACATATTTTTCTTATCTATTCAAAGACAACTAACAGTCCCTCACACTTGAGATAACCATGAAACTACTTCCCTCCTTAATAAATGCTGACAGAAAATGTTTTAGCAGAAGCTACTCCTTTTACAGTGCAACCCATTTGTCTATTTCTCATCCATGCTGTCCATGGCCTTAAGCCACAGAAGTAGGTAAGTATTTAGTCACAAAAAGAAAACTTTTCTATTTACAACTAAGGGCAAAAGTTTAGAGGTCCTTCTCGGGGGAAACAACCAGAGGAGCTCTGCTGTCCCTCAAAAGTGCAGTTTGCTTGAATGAAGACTGAAGAATTCAGTACTTAAATGCTCATGTCAGGCACCTCGGAAAGTTTTCTCCAACAATAAGAAGGCAATGGGAAGCCTAATAGATTTGTGTTTCTCCAATATTCAGCATTGTAGTCACCTTAGCAAAAATGCTGGATCATTAGCCTTGTGTGTTTTCTTTAGAAGTCACCAGTTCCAGGTTGATCCCATTCTTCTGCATTTTGTGAAGGCTGCCATATCGAGAAGGGCCAAGTTTTAACTACCTAAATGTTAAGCATTCTTAAGTCTGCCCTCCATTCTGAACACATCTATTTTGATGTAAGGTAAACCTAACTATTTCCAGGATTAACAAAGTAATATTGCAGTATACTTTGAAACCATGTTTCAATTTAAAATCATCATTCCAACCATCTTCAGTTGTGTCTAAGGCTTAGGCTTTTTTAATAACAACTTAAAAACCTGCTACAGTCTAAAATTCATTTTATACTGTGTGATGCTAACATCTTTTGCTTAAGTATTTTACAATGGACTTAAAAATATAAAAAGGTAAAATATATTTCACAGACAAAATCTAGCATGTGATTTTCCAGGACAAAGACAAACATACCTTTCAATTCAGTGCTAATCTCAGGTGGATCAAATGAAACAACCTCATCTGATGTAAAGGTAAGATCCTCCTCAAACGTCTCAACATGCTGCCCATTTAGAAATAGGCTGACCTGGAAAAAAATACCCATTTTCAAACCATTGAATTAGAAATTCAGTGAAACATATACATAAAGTATATTTCTGATTAAGTACTGGTCTGGCACATTTCAGTAACAGCTTTACAGATAAGATTCTGTTGTTCTTTTTTAAAAAGTCACAATAACAATAATGATCCATTATAAACATAAAAGGAATCTTCATGTAGGGCAAAAAACATAAAAATCAAAGAAATGCTCTATCTAGTTAGGTATGTTTTAAAAGAAGACAGAGTCTTTCTTTCTGTCTTCCTCTATATACTGCAGCACTGCATGGAATTTTGTGTCACAGCTCTTGACAGTTGGATCCCAAAACCTGAAAGCTCCCAGCTCTTCCATGATATAACCCCCTTTTCTTCTTAACATCACTGTCTGTATTAATTCTGGAATTCTGCCTGGATCCTTTATTCATCTTGAAATAATATATTAAAAAAAAAAAAAAGTAATACTGGATATTTGGGGGTTATGTTAAGAAAAAGATGAGCTCTTCCTATCCCCTGCCCCAAAGGTATCTGAAAACATAACATAGTCAAGTATTCTATTTCATTAGCTGATCAAATTATTCACTTAAGATGTAAGCAAAGTTTATCCGGATAAATCATATAGCACAAACACGTAGAGGTATTAACTGCATCCATTTCATCTGTACTGGAGGACTCCCAGTACTAAAGAGTCAGACATACAATCAGGTTACACTGCCACAACAAAACTATACACCAACTTAGCTGCAGCAGTTATCAGTGCTCAGTTGTCAGCAAATGCAAGATAATGCTACTCAGCCCTCTTTAGGATTGTTCTTAGCGAACAGCTAACAGTGACAAAGGCCTCCAATGGTTATGCAAGAAGAAGATTTAAAATTTATTGATTTATTCCTCCAGAAAAGCTGAATCAGTAGATTTGCTGGAATTCTTTTCCCTGAGGAAAGTTTTAGGTTACTTTTTAAACATGAGAAACCACACATGGGAAATAACTGTTGTAAAACCACTGGTGATCTGATAAAACTGGGACAATTGCATAAAAGCAGCGAGAACAACAAACAAGATATTGAAACCAATCTGACACTCAGAATGGTGTTATCAAACAGAAAACAAAAGAACCCACTGTGGTAGTATTAACATATCTGCAAATCTCCTTATGGACTGCTTTTGGGTTTAGGTCAGATGCTGAACTAGAGCAAGTAGGCTCTTTGTACCCGAGCTTCCAATCTAGAAAAGCAGTTAATTCATACCTTATGTACTCTCTAACCTCTAGCTAGGCCACTGCTGTTAATACATGGCTGTAACTTTGAATTAAGGACTTGAATTACTTACACCCCAATGTTACATAACCTTTAATATTACTGCAGTACAACAGTGATGGTCACGTGACATTTTGTCAACAGTGTACCCATGCACTCATCAGATTAGCTCTACAGAGCAGAGATTTTGATTTTCTGTATGGAAAAGAGTAGATGAGACACTCCTTTCCTTCCCTGCCAAATTAGATAACTGAACTCAACAGCATTTTACGAAGTCTGGAACACAGTGATAATTAGTAAGGTTACATTTCATTTGATGAACAAAAGAATGATAGGCTAAACTTCCATTAAAATAATAACCGCATATGAGACTTGGCAAAGACAAGCCATTCATGTAAAGCAAGTTACAACAGTAAGTACTTGAACTTCTTTAATAGACAAGCTGAGGTGTTTCTGTTTAATGCTTTTTCACTATGCACTGTTTATGGACTTAGTTTTAATAACTAAATAGCATCTCCTCCGTAAAATGATTCTTAAATTATTTCCCACTAATGCACAGTACTACTCAAAGGAAAATGCAATGTCTGGGCACATTTGTGCCAACCACTGTATGGATATGAAACAGTCCTTTCCTGAAATGTTCAGAACACTTAAATTGATTAGTGATAATTGTTTTAAGTTTGGTTGGGTTTCTTGGGTTTTTGGTGGGTTTTTTTTGTTTGTTTTGGGGTTTTTTGTTTGCTTGAGGTGGAGATTTTTGTTGGTTTTTTTTTTCTTTAATCAACTGGTTTTCACTTGTTCCTCCCCTCTTCCCCCCACCTTTTCACTTGCTTCCTGTGCTTCTACGGCTTCCCGTCACCACCCTAAGCCTGTCACAAAACCTGCGGTCTGACACAGACCAACATTCTGGCCTTTGGCCACTTTCTTGTTGGTGGATTAGACAGAAAGCTCTTACTGAGTGAGAAGCACCATTATCAGGATGCCTTGGCACAAGATACATGCAACAGCTACAAGACTTAACAAGGGCACTGGAAAAAGAAAGGCATATACGCAGTTTTGTCTGCAGTCTCCAAAGGATAAATTAAGTACCTGATGGCATTCAGAAAAGCCGATTCCAATATTTATAAATCCAAACATTTTACATTTTCAGTAAAACCAGTTTCCTCATGTTTACCTTGAGGATTTCAATCAAGACAGGGGTACGTGAACAGTGGAAAAGAAGTATGGCTGTAGTTCAATGTTCCATCTCACACTGTAATTTTTCACCTAGGACCGCCTAGTTATCTGAACCATAATTTCTCAGACTGAAAGGAGACTGCTATGAAGTGAACAGGACCACAGGGATAGATCTTATTTACAGGCTCCTCCATCATACTCATCACAATAGTTGCACAGGCTTTCATAATTTTCCAGGTTTTGCAGTATAGGCAAGAGCAGAAATTACTAATCCTACTTCCATAGATAGGGAAGGGTCCAATTCTCTGTAGTAAAACCTATGTGAATTAGAAGAGATTCACTGATTTTACTTCCCTCCATTAGCAACACATGCAAAATACAGACACCCTAAAAATACAGAAGATGTGTCCAGGTTAACAAGATAAATGATCAACTGTAAATACCCTCTTTAAATAGGGCCCTTTAACTCCCAAGAAATGTATGTTTCATAAGCACTCTTTGCAAATGCAGTAAAATAATTCAAACCTACAATTCCAGGACCCTGAAAAGAGATGTTCAGTTTTGATGCAAGATACTTCACAATTCACAGCAACTAACATGCAAGGTTGCCACTTTCAACTGTTGTAAAGTGTTCTGTATGAGTAACATTAGCCTCTAGGGAAGTGTTTAATAAAAGTTACAAGAATACTTTGCAGATTTAAGACTTAAAGTCACAAAAAAAATGCCAGTGTCGACAGCATCTTTCAAATTACTTCAAAAGATCAGAGTAGGCGCTTACCTGAACATTGCTTTTGGGATAATAGAAGAAAAATGGCTTCAAAACTGGAGACCTAGACACACAAAAGAACTAGCATAAATGCATTTAACCACAAATTAATGAAAATATCCGATCGTACACCTGCATACTATTCATACACCAGACAAAAACTTCCACGGCATCATTAAGAAACAAAGATTTTGTTAAAAAACAAACAAACCCCAAAAAAGTTTTATGGGATGGAGTAGCCAAAATATAGAAAACATTTTCTTCACAAAGGATGCACTTCATGACACTGAAGTCTACCGCACATCACTGGCCCCACACTGATACCTAGGCTAGTTACACAGAGCTGCTGGAAATGTATCTGTAGTTTCTACCCCAGTCTCCATATGCAAGACAGACATACTGAAGTATTCACTTAGGGACAGGAAAGTTTTAGATGCCCTTATGAGTATGGAAAGGTGAGCATATCAATCACCAGCAGATTTTAGCCATACTTAGGAAATACTGCATTAAACCAGGATTTTATTGTTGAGGTTTTTTTTATTTTTCATATGCTCAACATTATTCACCTTGCTCACACAATGGGTTCATGTTTTATGGGATGGGGTCCAGGACATTTGACCTCACATTTCTAGGTGAAGTGAGCTGGTACAGACACAAATGTGCTGTGCTCACATTCCAAACTAACAGGTACAAGAGAAATCCCATCCAGAAATCTGCATGTATTAGCACGTACTTGAACTACTGCTCTGCCATAAAGTCATATTTAAAGTTCTCCCTGCAGCTCATCAAGCACAGACAAGCATATTGTTATGAGCTGATCTGACACCTACTGAGAATTACTGAATAACTCTAATTCAGTATTTCAATAAAGAATCTCACTATTTGAACACTTATCTTGCAGTACTCATTATTAACTTGTTATCAGTTATTAAGCACAGTGTGTAACACAGACTAATTACTTCTGTGGTCACTATTTCAAGGTAGGGAAGCTTGTGATGGTGAGTGGTAGGAACACGACCATCACGCATTACAAGTTAATTATCAGGAGTTAACTTACACTGTGGGGTGCCCTCCAACAATTCCAGTGAGGCCAGGTGCTGGAAATGGAAATTAAATTCACAAAAGAACAGTTAAAACCATCTTCAAAATACTAATGTAGCTTGAATAATTTCTATAAAGCACATCTAATAAATACTGGGAAATATCTAGTAAATCACATAGTCTCATAAATTAATAAAACTGAACATTTTATACAACAGTTAAAAAGGCAAAACATGTAAAAGGTACTATGACTTCTAATAAAAAATAACTTATTTCAAAATGTGCAAATTATAAACTAAATCTTAGGTTCTTGTATTCTGTATACCAATACAAGTCAGGCAATACATTTGACAGAAAAAAAGAGCTTAGCTTTGGTGGTTTTGTTGCTGTTCTTTCATTTAAAGAGAGCAGAGAAACAATTCTGACCTCAATCATGCTGTGTTTTAACACTTGCTTAGTATGGCCTTGCTTACTAGATGAACTGTTTCAGATTAACTTGCATCTTCAGCATTTTCAATGGCTACCTTTGCTTTTCTTAAGGTGCTTCATAACGCAGATCCCATCCTCTCTCTTTGATACATAGGTAATTGAGAAGCTTAAGTCATTAGCATGATCCCAGATTTGCAGTAAATCAGCACTGCGATTAGACTCTTGTTTATTCTTGGTATCAGGTTGCCAGGCTTTCCTACCATTAAACCCATCTACCCAGCTCTACCTCTGGAACAAACATTTCTGCTCTCCTCATCCTGAGCAGTTTTCCACCCTTTTTTCTGCCATGGAGCATGCATAAAGCTTCATGTAATATTGCAAGGGAAAGAAATGGTAAAGTGCATACATTGAATCAGTCGAGGAATTAACAAGTGTGTTAAGCAGTCCCTTAGCAACAGATGCTGTGGGAAGCTGCCCACATGGTATATTTACTCAAATTAATCCTGGCTAAAATGGGATTACTGCTTCCTCCAGGTGTGAATCCCCTGTGTTTGTGCTCTGAACAGACTAAAAGCCATGTAACCTTGCTGCTGTGGTACTAAGCTTACACTAATAACCTCTACTTCTCAGCATGCTCTTTTAGCTTGGAGTCAGTGTCTTGGTAATGTCAACACACACCACAGCATAGATTACAGACTCTTGCCATATTCAAATTCATCGGAAGTGATTTCCCTGAAAGAGTGATTAACGAGGGTTTTTTTTAATTGAAGTTTTTGAAGGTGGGTGCTGTTACACAGTCCTTGTCTTGATCACACTGCACTGTAACCAGACACATTTGTAATCAACAAAACTAAAATTCAGTGCACATCTGAATGACTGATTCAGAGATGGTAACAGTAAGAAACCTGGAGTCTTTTGCCTAAAGCTAGTCCAATAACTCTGCCAGCTTGGCCACTGTGCTAGTACAGTACTTGCACATTGTAACTTAACTCACAAAATAAACAGGCTTCACTGACTATACTTTTAGCCAGAGGCTGAAAAAAACCCAACCCAACCAACCGACCTCAAATAACACCAACTTTCAGAAGGTGTTACAGTTGAGAATAACCGGAAGGGATTACGTGTGTCACTCCTCCTTTTCCCACAAAAAAGCCTGTAATGTTTTTTAGTACAGGAGAAAAAAGAATGCCTTCAACAAAAGGAATCAAAAAAAAAACCCCAAAACCAACAACAAAAACCATGAACCACCTCCTTACCCAGCAGGTTCTGCTGCAAAATATGTGGCAGTGGATAGAATGTGAAATAATCCCTTACATCACTGTTACACAACTTTAAATGATCCAGTGAAGATTCTCTATACATATTACCTGTGCACTCGTTCAAGCATAAAACTGCCATTCCACATTAAAACTAACTGCACTTACTTTACTGAATTGTGTGCCTAATTTGTTTATTTAGGTTGCTGGGGGAGGAGGCTGGATATGGGAAGGTCATGTTGAAAGTACAGGTTCATAAAGTTAGTTAATTTAAATTATCTGCAGATTGTCACATGGCCCACTTCCTGCTAGGCAGCTGAACTGCTCATTAAGGATACCAGATTTTGTGCTGACACCAGTTTCAACTTCCCGAAAGCTCTCACTTCCCTGCTCTCATACAATAGAAATTGGCTCCTACAACAAAGCAGGGCTCTAATCACAGACAAGAAAACAATCTAAGAGCAACCACTGCTCGCACCTCATGGCTACAATAACCTTCTACTGCTGCTTGCTACCGCTAGTCTTTCAAAGTTCTCTAGTATAAGCTACTGTGCCAACAGATCTCCCTCTTGAGATACTAGATACCCCTGCACTTAAATGCAATTGCAGAGCAAAGCTACGTCTGTGCAACATCACAGTTGCAGTGTTACTAACTTCTGTATCTAAGCCACTGCTTATGTTAACAATAGCAAAATGGGAGAGCTTTTAAGTACAATCTAATTTTACTATATGCAATTCCTATTTAGGCTTCAGGCAGAGAAGATGAAGCAGATCTTAAATTAATGATGACTTATAATCAATGGTTTACTTGTGTAAATAGCACTAGAGCACACCACCTTGCCTCAACTCAGCTCAGGGCTCAGATCCCTATCACACTTTCCTGGTAAAACAGGACAATAGAAGGTGAAGCACAACTTGGTAAGAGTGGACTTGTCACTGTTGCAAGACCTACTTCTGGTAAGTTAACTGATCTCCTTAGATCAACAGTTGGCCCAAGACACCTTCTTTAACAAGATCTCCTCATGCTGTACTTTATGCTTCCTTTGCATTGTAGAGCATCTGTCTGTGCAGATGCTCCCCCAGCCTCTTTTCTGGAACACCTTATCTACGACACAAACGATTTGACATAGAGTATCAATCAGGCTGCAGTTATCAAGTCAGTAAGATTATCGGCTAGATTGAAGCTGCTGATCTCATTTCCCAGAAACTTTGTGACCACTGTTTGTTATCAGAGCTCTATTCATTAGTTCCTCAAGGCAGATAAAAGTATCACTAGCACAGTGTCATCCTATCTGACCAGTCACCCTCTTAACAAGTTGCTTCACTTCAAGCTGATGAACAGCTTCACCACCACTACCTGTCAGATTCTTTGCCTCAGAATAGCACAAAAATGATTCACTACAAAATGGCTGAATGCTGGAAACCTTCCTTTCAATTCATGTATAGTCCCTTAGTCTGTAGGTACAGGATTCTTCTGGTGTAATCATCGAACTGAATATGATGCTATTTATTTTGCTTCAAGTGTTTGATCCAAAAGCCTACCATTTCTGAAAACATTTTCCTTTGCAGTGCCTGAGGACCTAGCCTGAGAACTACAAATTCTCCAGGTGGCTGGGCATGTAAAAGCCAAGAGTCAGTACTGGGGATTACACCACATGAATCCACTGCTTTCATTAACTCCCAAGTATATGGCATTGCCCTGTGTTCTGGAGCAGGGGGGAATAAGGGGGAGAGTGAGTGAGCGGCTGCACAATTCCGAGCTAGGGGCTGGGCTTAAACCATGGCAAGCATGATTAAAGAAATGTCAGGCACTAAATCCATTAAATTCTTTCTAGGTAACTAAGCACTGGTACAGGACCCTTACTCTGGATTCTGTGCTTGAAAAATTTGAATCTACACTGAATCTACAAAGCAAAGAATCAATTATTAGTTAGCAAGGGCTTCATTTTGGTTAATCTGTGCAATTCTTCATACAGTCTTATCCCACCTTCATTTTATGACTCCTCCCTCTAGCCTACTTTCAATCTTACCCATTTTCAGGCCAATTACCTTAAGGAAAACAGACTATCATCATCTGTGTGTACACGTATGTATATTTATACGTGTTTGGTTTTTTCCTTTCTGTCATGATTCTTCCAGCGCACCTGTGAGACCCCACATTTTAGGTACAAATTTTCTGTAGAAATCTGTATTTTTGAACAGAATAATATCTGTTATATCAAAGAAAGATGCTAGACTACACAAAACATCTTGTAAAATGTTTTGGAGTAAAGAAGCATGAAAAGGCTCTGACTTGTTGAAATCTGAAATGCTTAAGTAGTTTAAATAACAGGTGACACTTCTATCTTTGGAACTTCACAGAGTTTTAAAACACAATGAAGTCTCCTGCTCACCAACTTAGTTTTTGACCCCAAATGGTTTGCTCCTTGTATTTCCAGTGACTAAACCAAAATGTTACTATATTCACTGCATATTCTAAAGATATATACATAAACCCCATATATTTCTATATAAAAAGCAGACTTCAAAGATATCTTTAAGTGATCAAACTAGACAAATCGGAAATCTTGGGTTTTACACTCAACAGTTCTTACAGTATAGTCGAGTAGAAATACAAAATGCAGACAATCTGTTTTTACAGGGGTCAGTCATAATTCTTAATTATTCTATCTATGTCCTCTGAATACAGCAGATAAACTATCTTCAGCAACATTATTCTCAAAAACTGGGGACTGCAGTAAACTGTTAGAATGAGGACATTTCTTGAAGCATCTTCCAACACACTTAGAATGTCAGTCATAATATTTACATATACTCAAGCACTTTAAAATCTCAAGTTGTATTAACCAGCTGTCATCTTAGTGTCAAACTCCGGTCATTTTAATGTGAAATAAGGGTCAGCACATGACTTCAGCTATTATTAAAACATTTCTTAGCTACTGGACTCCTATTAAACTATAAATGTCAGTTTCCCACAGCAAGGCTTTTCTTGAACCCATGCTACACTACATTTTATCCAGAGTAAAATATCTGAATTAAAGAAGACAAAGTGAATACACTACATCAACATAAATTATTTACATGCTAACCATGTGGCTGCCAGGACTGTATATAATGAAGACATTTTCCTTGAGTAGTACAAACCTGGTCTGTGATGGCTAGCTTTTATGAAGGTGTATTTCCATAGTCTGGGCAATGCAGAATTGCACTGAACTCACACAGGCTCCTACAGATTTAAAAATCTGAGTCTGTGTGTCCAGGATTTTTCACTGCCAAGCATAGAAAAGCTTACTTTATAGAACAAGGAAATAGCTGTGAAGACTGCAGATGCATTTGAAATCTCTACTTTTTTTTTCAGGATACCATACATGCATAAAACCAAACTTGCTCACTGCTGTTCAAAGAAAAAGAAAATGCTACTATCAACTTTCAAAGTATTGAGAAATAAACAAAGTATACCTTTACCAATCAGAAGTTTAACAAACTCGGGTATTAACTGTAATTGGATTAGGTGTGTCAGCATATATATTTTTTAATACCTTGTACCCCCTTTTAAACTGCTCAGAACAACATAATCCAAATGAAAACTGACAAAGTATTGAAACTGGCAGACTAAATACCATGCTTAACAGAAGTTTACACTAAAAGCCTTCCATTCCAAACAGTAAATGAACAACAAATCACTCTCTAATATATGACATGTCTATATACAGTAACTTCAAATTCTTCTCTGGCCTTAAGAATCCCATCTGCAGTTTTAGTAACACTTCAGAAAATTTTTGTATAAGTGCACTCATGTGCCCATTGGTCTTCAACAAAACACTGGGAATTTAAAAAGGATTAGAAAAAAATATTAGGGAACAGCTATGAAAATCTCAGTATTTCACTTCAGATTATGGAAGCTTTTTAGAAGATGCCACCTTCCCAAACTTCTCTTTTGCAGGTCTAACCCCTTGCCTACACTGCAGAGCACAAACACACACATGCTTCAGCCCATTCCAACACATAGGTAGTATTCCTTTCTCATTTCTTTCTGACATCAAAGATGAGATTTCATAAGAAATACGGAATTTCAAATCAGCACAATGCCTTGAGATGCCTTTCTACTCATTATCAGAAGATCTACCATAAATGGGGTGGTGGGGAATAATCAGCACTCTCAGGTTAGTGCTCTCCTTTTATGTAGCCTAAGTTTTATTATCCATTACATTTAACAAAAATATATCAAAATATATTTTGGAAAAAAGCTGCAAAAAAGTAAAAATTCAGAAATACTGACATCAAGACTTTAAATTCACTAGAAGAGCTAAAAAGCACATCTCTGACACAAGACCTAACAACCTAAGTTTTAAATCTCTGCTGTGAAGCATGAGGAAGATCACCCCTCAACACAATTGTTGCAATAAGCTTTTTAATCACAGGAAGAAAAAGAATTTCTTTCATCTTCCTGTTGTTCTCTGTACTGTCTGAAAAAGTATAACAAAAAAATCCCCCCAAATTTTGAGTCAAGTGATTTAATTTCAGCCTAATCAAAAGCCACCAAGCTAGGCTTTCAGTACTGGCTACTAAAGATACTAATACCTTTTTTACCTGTAATTTGTAATTCTCATATTATGATCCTATTACCAGAACAGAACCCCTTTCCAAACCTAGCTCAGGGCTCCACAAGTATCAACTACTAAGCTGGAATGACCTCATGAAGAGTGACAGTGCTCCTGGATTTTATCTCAAAAAAGGCATCTGATAAACACAAGTAAATCGAACAGACTAGGCTTAGTGCTGCCTCTCTCAGATACACGAGTACTGGAAAATTCCATGGACTAGAGAAGGAGCAATTAGGACTCTCCACCCTTATTCTGAACCATCAAATCTTTCTCTAACCCTCTCCTCTACTCCCCATTCCTAAATTTTAGTCAGCCTGGTTCCCTTAAATACTGGTGGAGTTCCCTCTAGCATTTCTTTCAGGAAAGCAGAACCGAGGACTCCAAATTCTTTTGTGGTTATGCTTCCTGCCACTATCTCAGGAAACCATCTATAAAGCAGAGTACTTTCCAATGTTACTAGACACTAGAAAGCTTAGTCGGTGGTGTTTACACAGCTTGAAGATTCTTTGATAAAAGGTACCATATATGAAACTTACTATCTGTACAACTGTCCACACACCACTTACAGTAACAAACACCAACTGCAAGAAGAATAAAGTTAAAAACAATACCCCACAATCATTAGATACAGTCCAAGCAGATCACCAAAACTTTCCCTTTTTTTTCCCCCTCTTTTTGCCTGATACAGATCAAGTGACTGTTCTTTGTTTCTTAATGTCCAAAAAATAATGGAATTAAGTGTTTAAGTTCAGGTGACATTGCCCTGCAAGACAGCAAGTCCTCCTTTCTCCTTGCTGCTCATTACGAAGGACTTGTAACTTGTCCCTGCTTTCCCTCAGTTTTTCAATAAATGACTCCAGAAATATGGTCTTTCCCATTGCTGCTCACTATCAGTCTTACTATGAAATTATTTATTATTTAATTATTTTATTATTATTATTTTTAGAGATATATTCTAAAAAGTTTAAGCTATTTCTCTAGGAAACAAAACTAGCACCTTCACCATCATTCATGCAGACTGCCCAACCTGATTCTACACTGTTTCATCAGGAAAAGCCCTGATAACATGAACTGAAAGCTTGCCAGCCACCTTAAGACACAGATGTGCACATCTTGTGGTAATTCAATTTCAATGCTGTACATACTCCACCCAACCCAAGCACTGCAGAGGTTTTACTTTTTTTCATTCTGTGAAGAATGATGGTGAAGGGGAAAACTGAAACCTGAACAAACCCAGCACTTTCAGAGTATGACAATGTTGCACATTGGTGTAACCATGGGCAGGAAAACAAAGACTGCTGAAAAAAAGGAAAAAAGACAGGAAAAGACAGTAGCAGCAATGGAAGAATAAAGAGTATCAAGGAAACAAACTGTGGACTTCCAGAGATTTCCTTTTATCATTTTGCTAACATCTACAGGTTGTATTTCTACACCAAACATAAATACCCTTTGAAAACTACAGTTTCACTATGCACAGTGCAATGAAAGTGAACACGGCTTAGTTTTGGATGCTAGTCATACTCATGGAAAAGTAAAAAAGTAACTTTAAAATCCTTAGAAGACAATGTGAATATTTACCCATGCCAGTTCCAGCTGGAGCAACTTCTCTGGAGAAGATTTCTACAGCTTCTTTTTGCTTATGGTGTACAGCAAGCCAAATAACAGCTTCTCGAGGACCCTGCTTCAAAATAGTAGACATTAGATTAGCCTAGATGCAGAATGTCAGTTAAATTTACCAAACTGAAAAATAACTGCAGCTCAGCACTCAAGTTATATTTAACTGAAAAATTTAGTGCTCACTGCTACAAGCTACAACTTTCATTCAGTGACTTTTCATCCAGCATCACTATAATTTTCTGTTAACGTTTCATTATCTGTTTTTAATTTACTACCATGAAATCAGCTATTGGATACTTCAAACTGCTAGGACACTGTGCTGCTTCTCCACTGTTCTCAAAGAATCAAGTACTAGAACTAACAGTACTTTATAAGAAACTAAATACTTGGCTTCACTCAGTGGAACTGGCAAACAAACTCTCCTCTTACTTGAAGTGCACTGAGAATACTTTACGGTCAAATCAAGAGCCAGGATTACTTTTCTTAGCATCAAGAAGTAAGCAAATCTGCTCACAGAAAAGAATTCAAACCTAATCCTTGGGAGTTAAATAGGAAAGCATAACTTGTAAAAGCCACCATGTTTCCAGAGAAAAGAGCAGATCTCCTCTGAAGGGAAACCCAACCAGTACTCTGTTCCCTACTCCGCAGTCAGCTAAGACACCCACCCTTGCAGACAAGAACTCTCTTACTTAAGATTTTACTTCTTTAAATATCTCCTTTCTGCCACCATAAAATCTACTGTTGGAATTAATACACTGGCAAAAGCCTCAGAATGAACTTTAGGTCTCACTGAGAGAAAAGACTGTATTTGAGAATCTGCATCCATCAGTAAGAACCACCTTTGGTCTGCCTTTGAATCTAAAAATATGAAGCCTGCTCACAATACAAGTCTGTCCTTAAGTGTCCTTGAGTGTCTCTTACTTGTCCCAAAGCACAAGCACAACCATTTCTATCACACATATGAAATGGGACTGCACAAGGTATAAAGATCTACTGGTCAGGAGTTTCTCACACAAAACTACTTCAAGTATGGAGTTCTGCAGCAGAGTACTTCTCTCTGGTAGTCAGCTCTCAAAGTCAGCTTTTTTTTGTTAGTGAACACAAAGAACTTTCTAAAGATTCTTTGGTAATGTTACATGAGATTCTTGGCTTACTTATATCAATGTAAAATACAAAGGAGTTTGACCACAAGATACTAGGGGATTTCTTCCAGTGTTTATGTTCTTTTTTCATATAAACAGGAAAGGATGTATTTCATGAAGGCATGAAAAAAATGAAACAAAAAATACCAAAGTCTGGTTGGTTGGGTTTTTTGGGGTTGTTTTAGTCTACAGTTCTACAGACCTCAGAGCACTTCACACCTCTCTAAATGCCCTGGCTAAAGTGTTTCTGTAGATTTGGCAGCTCTTCTACTAAAAATATAGAAAAGTAAAAAAGAAAAAAATTGAACATATAGCTACTTAGGATACAGAAAAGGACATTCTCCTGGAAGAAAGGAACTATTGGATTCTGGAAGATCCAACCCTTTTTTAATCTATGGCAGATGTTTTATGGCAGGAAGTTAATATACATGACTAAATAACCTGGCTTTAGTTTATTCCAACTTTTTCCTTACATATAATAATTTTAAATTAACATTTTTCCTGCTAGTGTAACATTTTTAATGGATTTTAGCAAAAAAAAAAAAAAAAGCCTATTTCTTTACAAATGCAGAAACCAGCGACACTTCTGAAAGCATCAGAGATTCTAAGTACTCAGCACACAGGAAAGATACAGATGATGCTAGACTTCAACAGCATCAACTTCAAATTGTTGGGGACTGATATATGGAGCAGAGAAGACACATTTTATGGTCAGATGAAAAGAACAGAGCCATGACTCCTTAAAGGAGTCCTCTCACCTCTAGGCTAAGGAACGGCATAACCCTACACAGTACCGAATTTTTCATGACTTAACACTGAACAGAGAGAGGAACCTTTCTTAATGCTAACAACATCCTTTGTCTAATAGATAGGAACAGGAGAGAAAAAATGAACACCTTGAAGTTGTTATTATATGCAAGCAGTTGTTCGATCACAAATTTAATTCAGTTCATCTAAAACCACATCTCAGCCTTCTTGCTGTTTTGATGTTTATTCACTACCCAAAGTCGAATGGGTGTCCCTGATTACAAGAACTAGAAACCATGTCAAAAGCAATTCTAAAATTACTTTAACCAGCTGTCAATTTACACAGCTAGCAGTGAAAAGACTCATATGCCTAACAAAATGGAAATTTACTCCTTAGAATTCTAGTAAATACAACAGCATCATAACAAAATAAAGTGTATTCCACCCCCTACTTCTCACTCCCAATTTTAATACTTGACTAAATGTTTTAAACTTATGTTTTTTCCTGAGAAACTACATGCTGAATCTGAACTCCTAAATTGCCCATCTTTTAACACATCTCCTAACCCTTAAAATAATTCTTATTTTAATTGCCCTCATTTCTGTAAAGCTGCATTGTTTAAAACCATGTAAACCAGATGTGAAATCCAAGTATCAACTTTAAAAATACCGATGCCTTCTATATTAGTATAATTTTCCCTCTGTATACAGCACATTTTTCTTAAAAGCAATACTGTTGAAGATGTCAACATTCAAAATCTCAAGTCAATCTGAGGAATTTAAGTAACTTCAGCAATGTAGGAACATGGATGTATTTCCTAGTGGCAGCTGCTGAAATGGTATTTATCATAAATGTTGTAATACACCGCATGAGTGTTCTGGCTACTGTAAGAGTATCCCAAAGAGACTGTTATGTTAACACAGTACCAAACCCTCCATTCTAGCTCAAATACATGACAAAATCGCAACACAAACAAGCTCCCTTATGCCAACTTATATCAAGGCAGGAAAGCTTCCTGACTTTATAGCTGGTGATCAGTGAAAACCTAATGATAAAGGGCCTTCTTGGTTCAGTATGTTTAAACCTAAGTTCTAAATATTCATAAATTTGGAAGATGATTTTTCTCTATTTCCTACTCTAGTGGCACATCCCCACAGAGGTACTCTGAGGTACTGTAATGATAAAGGTAATTGCTTTCATCTTGCTTAGGTACCCCTGTGTAGATATACTCACAGGGAGACACAGTTCATTTCTCAGCTTCCAAGATCCCAGCCTGGAAAATACCTACCACACTACTACGATGCAGGAAATCCTGCAAACTTGGTTCACATTTTTGTTGGCTTACCTCAATACTCATGTAGATAAACCCTAAAATAAAAGTTTAGCAGAGCCAATGTAGGAGAGGTTATATTATTCCAGCAGACCGTGTATCACAGAATAGGGTTGGAAAGGTTGGGCAGGAATGCATCACTGAAAGGACAGAAATTTCCCTCTGAATTCAGAAACAGATGTCCTGATCAAGATAATAAGAAACCAATCAGGTTTCCAATTTAAAAGTTTCACTAGATTCTTGTAAAATTGTTGCTACACAGAAAATATGCAGCCATGCCACATTCAACAAATGCATTTAACATTATTTCCAAGTATTCCCATTTAACAGTCTACCACAGGATTAAATTACTACAAATAATATTTAATAGGAAATACTCTTGCAAGAAACATAATTATGCACTCACATCTGCTTCCTTGTTCTAAACTACATTTTCTTCCTTGCACACAGATCCAAAATACAGTGGTCTGTGAAAATAATAAGCTGATTCCTGTTTTAAGTGGATGAATCCAGATATACAGACTATTTTAAAGTCATTTATCTTACAGTATCATAATTTAAAAATAGAAAAAATTTATATTCCATCAAGTCTTAAGATGTGTTTACAACACATTTACAGTGTGTTTTAACCTGGCTAACAACTGGTTAGTAGAAAATGAGAATACACAGCACAGTTTTTAATATACCAAACCCTTAACACCTGATATATCAATCACACATCAAGTATCGCTAAACCATGAACTCATTGATGCTGTGACACTATTATAACCCCCTTCTTCCCCCATCACAGAAAGCAATAAAGCAGGAGATACTAAAAATTAAGTTACTCAGTGCTGATTCAGGTCCCTTTGTTGCTCATGCTGGGCTGCTGCTGCTAAAGCAAGCTACTGGAATGGCAAACAACCACCACATAAAGAGGTGAGGAACACCAAGAAAGGAGGCAAGCATTTCTTCATTTCTCAGGATGCTTTATGTCGTCAGAACAGTCAAGACTCCACACAGAAGCTCAGACTACAGCATACAGGCCTACATAAGACAGGATGTACAGCGATTTTACATCTGCAAAGGCAAACCTTTGCACCCAGTTTGACAAACCTGCTGACAGACCTGTATGAGGATTAGTTGAGCCACACCAGCCATCCACACTGAGCTCCAACTGTTGTTCCACTTATCCTGTATTGGTATTCATATACATATTTACTTCTCTCTCAATTAAGATTTTAGAACCTTCAAAGCAAGAACTGTTTTCCTACTGTGTTAATACATTGCCTAACACAACATGGCTCTGGTTTTGAGCGCTGTTATTTGCAACCCAAATAACCACATCTAATTTGGATGGAAAGACACAATTGGAAAGAGCATTTAAGAGACTACATTATTGCTGCATGAAGCTCCAAAAGACAGACGTTTTCCTTAGGATTCCATGACTTTATATTTTAAATGTAAAAGCAAACAGCCCCCCCCCCCCCCTTCTACTATGGCTACTTTCCAGATGAAAACTCCTCTCTGTTTAGTTTCTTCTGAACTTTTGGAGGAACCGAGTAAAGGGGAAAGGCAATAACGTGATTTCCTGTATTTCAGCCTTAGCTTTCACATACGATTTCAGGCATGTATGGGAAGCACATATAATGGAGATAACACTCTATTTTTAATGTAAGACCTGGGAGCTGAGGCTGAAAATATAATAATTGCAATTACTGAATTTCATTTGGAAAATTCATATAATGTACTCTTAACAAGACAGAATGAACAGTAAGGAAGAAAAAAATGCTCTTTTTCAAATCATTATTCACTCCATAGAATGAGACAGAAAACTTTCCATGTAATATTAAAGAATGTAATACAGCAGATAACCATAAGGAGCTGGTAGGAACGGAATACAGACAAGTTCAACATCTGGAACACTTGTTCCTTTGTTTCAATACTTTGACTCTGCAATCTCAGCAACACACTTCACATTGCAGGGTTTATGATCCTGAAAGGAAAAAGACCACATTATAAAGCTCATTTCTCATGAAGCAACTCTTGCTCCTGTGCAGAATGAAATGGAAGCTGAAGCACTAAAATGAGCAGCTACAGATCTAACTTGCCCAATTTCTAAGAACACTAGGAGGACGTTTGCTCTCTTTCTCCACATCATGTTCTGGTTTCCTATACATACAAATTGTCAGCTATTTTTAAGTGTCAGCACTCCTAAGATCGACCTCAGAGCTGAGTTTTGCCACATGTACCTTAAGAGTGTTGCAAGACTGCCACTGTCAAAGAAGAAATAAATGCTGCTGTTCTGGAATACACTAAACTGTCTAAATATTTAAAGTGCATGTAAGTGAGGACAAGATTTACAGTCTTTTTCCTCAAAAAAAAAAAAACAAACAAAAAAACCCAACCAACCAACCAACCAAAAAAAAAAAAAACAACCCAAAACCAACCTAAAAAAAAAATCCACCAAAAGTCCCTAAGCTTTCGTATTCTAGATTTGAAAAACAGACCATGGCATATCACAGCTGCAGTGGCTATGGGCATCATTCATATCCTTACATATGCATTTATTAAGTCACAAACTACAATGCAGAATTATATAGTTGATGATTGTTTCATAAACAGTACTCCCAGACAGTTTTAAATTTGCAGAGGTAACAGTAATTATTCTACCATTTCCTGACTCTGCAATCTTTATAATGTGGTCTTTCAGTTACATCTAATGCAATTTAAATCTACATCATGACAACTTTTACAAGAAGGTATTTCTTTAGATGAATAACATTAGAACAGACTACAACAACATTTTTGTAAGATTTCATATCAGTGCTTTTGGAAGATCCAATACTGTCCAGAGCTTGTCAGTGTTAATTTTATACACTAAGGAGTGACACTGAATTCTTTGTAAGATGATGGGGTGAAAGTCCCAAGATGATAGTGACTTCCTTTAAAGTTGTGGAAAAGATAACAATATGGAGAGATTAAGAGAGGTCAGTAAAAGTTTAAGAACGCTCCACTGAATACTTACACCATCTATACTCCTTCTAGCATGAGGTCCATATGTATCTTCAGACCCTAAAACCTGTATGTTAACTGCACTGTAATCTTCATACCCAAGCTGACTGAAAATAAGACGAGTCCTGCAACAAATGATTTTTATTAGTAAACTTCCTGATTACCTGAAGAAGTCCTGTGTGGTCCACAGGAGTTAGTTTTGTCATGTAAACTGGACTATGAATACTTTACACTAAGCAAACGGATCTGAATACTACAGATCAAGAGATTACTGACAAGGAAGTCAGGCCTCTGAATTTATCCCCAGGTTTCAAACTGAGCCTTTTGTTTATTCACATTAATTGAAAGATGACAGGCAAAGACAAATAAATGGATTTTGCCTCTTACTTCTATCTTTAAAACAAAGACAGCTTGAAATGTAATTACAGATATGCAGTCTTCCTGGTTTTCATACTGGTAATTCAGTTTTTAGCTCTGTTTCTGCTACAAGGCATTATGAACTACAGTAAGTACATGGAACTACCTTGTTACATCACAGGCACCAATGCATCAAAAAAAAAAAAGTCAAACTGAAGAAGGAACTTCTGTTCAAGCCTTAAAGATATTTACTTGGGATTCCTGAGCATACAGCTCAAATGCCAAAAAGTAGGTCAAGTTTTTAAACAGAACATTTCTTTATTACTAGTACCTTTCCAGTCTGGCACTGAAAGCACTCTCTTTCTATAAGGTTATTTCCACCAAAAGCACATTGTGTCAAGAGTGCCAAGTTTGTCCAATCATGATTAATAATGGGGCTGAATATTACCTTTTTATACACCATGAAAACACACACTTCTTTTAGAGAGCCAAGAATTTTTTGACAAATACTAAATTTGAGTTTAACAGACTGTTTGCTACAACTATTAGAAAAAACAGCCCAACACTCAAGCATTAAAACTGAAGATGATCACTACAATTTTAAAAGCATAATCAATTGAAGTCCAAATCCTGCCCCCCCCCCCCAAAAAAAAAAAATCACGGTAAACAAGTTAGAAAAAAGTTTTAAAAGAATCCAACCATTAAAATCAGTCCAATTTATTAACATCTTGCAGATTGGAAAAGTAAGCTAAACACTGAAGCACCTAAACTGATCTCCCAATAGTCTTGGCCTGGTGCCCTTCTAGATGTATAAAAGATTTTTTCAGTTGAAACACTGGAATTATGTTAGGATGAGAAAAATATTTTTCATCAGTGAAACATTTTGAAGACACTTTTAATATAGCATCATCTTTGAAAATATTAGCAGTATAGACAACCTAAACAGAAAATATAATTTTCTAAGTGTTATGAGATGAAGGTGGTCTGTGTACCACAAATAAGGTAGCCACCTTTACTACCACGGAAAGACAGACACTTGATTTAAGGTACCTAAATTTGCAAACCATGTCTAGTAAGTTATTTTAAGTTACTTATCTACAAACGTTACCTTTAGAGATCCTAGGGTTCAAAATACATTCTGTGGGTAACCTTTAGCCCTTTCATGTGTCTTGGTAATGCAAGAGAGTACCATCAAAAATAAAAGGACACCAAAGGCTACTCCAAAAAGACTTCTTCACATACATACTGCCAAATAGTTCCTGCTTTTGAAAATGAATAAACAAATAAAGTACAAGCATGCATAACAGAAATGAGTCTTATTACAAACTGCCAAAACTGCTTGACAACTTAAGACTGCCAACTAGATTGACCTTTATGATTGAAGCACCTTAAATTTGTGCACCTTATTCTGTAATCACTGCCATTAGACTACTGGATAGTTTAACCTGTAACAGACTAGAAGCTGGCTAGCTGACAGATCATGTCCTTCCAACATTCTCTTGCAACACGAAGGGATGCTGGGGAGGGGCTCTTCATTAGGGACTGTAGTGATAGGACAAGGGGTAACGGGCTCAAACTTAAACAGGGGAAGTTTAGATTGGATATAAGGAGGAAGTTCTTTACTGTAAGGGTGGTGAGGCACTGGAATAGGTTACCCAGGGAGGCTGTGAATGTTCCATCCCTGGAAGTGCTCAAGACCAGCTTGGACAAAGCCTTGGGTGATATGGTTTAGTCTGAGGTGTCCCTGCCCATGGCGGGGGGGTTGGAACTTGATGATCTTAGGGTGCTTTCCAACCCTAACTATTCTATGATTCTATGAACTGGTGGAAAGACTGAAGTTATAACTTTCTGAAGAGATGCAGTCGCTGGTAGAACATTCTCTGAAGGTAACCAGAATAGCTTAACTCTTATTCTATGTCTGAGTTGACACAGACAAATCTTTCAAAGATGCTGAATAAATGATTTCACACATTAAGTTCTTAAGACTGTTTGAGATGGAGAACATATTATGGGCAGTACTGCTGCGATTTTTAACGCACAGAACAAACCGCAGCTGCTGCACGCATGCCTCATGGGCTAGAGGTCACTTAGGAAGCCAGCTAACCAGTCTGGCAATTTCCCATCAGCCCTCATCTGAGGATTACTCAGGACAGCACAGTAAGCAGGCTGAATTTATTTTCTAATAGAGAAAATAACTAGAGGCACTAACCACCACAAGCTGTTTCAATCGGCAGTCTGGTCTGAAATAATGTCCAAGAGCAAACACAAAAGGGACAATATACCCATCCCCCCTTTTTTTTGTTCTGTTTTGTTGGGGTTTTGTTTTGTTTTGTTCTTGGGTTTTGGGTTTGTTTGTTTTTTGTAATTCCTCAGAGACTCTGGAAGCCTCTTTGTATTTTAACAGCTCTTGAAAGGCTTTCCTTTCACTGATTTTCTCAGTAGCTCTTGGACACATACACTTATCCACATGACTCTTAAGAAAAGGTTCCTTAACTTCATTACACATCCTGCAACAGCCTGCTGTCATCTGCTATGTCTCTCGAGTGAAATCACATAGCTCCTCCTTCACCACAGTACATGGGCACATAAGCAGTACGTCACACCTTGCATTTCTGACAGGTGTCTATCCTAGTGTACTTGCTGCATAGGCCTGTAATATGGTGTAACAGGGAGTTTTATAAAACATGGCACAAAGAGATTTACCTCACAACTAGAAAGGTTGGAACTATTGGAGTAAATGCTCAAACACTTCCATGAGGATATGGAATTGTATTTAAGAGGAATCCCTCTTAACCCAAGTAACAATATGACTAGAGGTTTATCAGTCTGTCTTACAACTGTAAAATTGTTCAAGCAAACAAAACCATTAGTCAGGTTTTACCAGGAACTAAGAATTTTATTTTAAACACAAACTGCCTACATTTCATAGCACTAAGATTTTTAATCAAGTAAGATTTTTAATCAAGTTCGGTGAAAATCAATGAAAGACAGTTTCATAAGGGTTGCTCTCTGGCACTGAATAAATTTTAATCTGAAGCACAGTTTTTCCATCATTAATTTCAGATTCTCTCCACTGTCCAGCCATCTATTTTCAATAGTATTTGAGACCTTTCTCTGTCAAATGTAGCTGAAGTGTAGTTATACACTGAAAACATTTCCTAAACAGGCTACTTAAGTCTTGGAATGTCTTCTGACCTGCAAGATTATAATCTTTTAGGGTTCTTACAAGGTTCATATGGTTGGCATTGCTTATTACGGTTCTATTTTCATCATCTCTGAAAACAAGAAGTCCAAAACCCTTCCAAGACTCAAATACTAACCTCTGCAGAATACCTTCTGCAGTGCGTTTTCCTTTTTGTACTGCTTTTGGACCTCCCACTGGACAGACAGCAGTAGCTCTGAAGCCATCAAGGTAAGTGGCATTAACCTGATGATAAAGGGATTATAAAATTACATGGGATTCAGTACTGATATGCTATTAATGCTCTCTGACAATCATCCACACATAAAGCAGAAGCAGAACAGAAAGGAACCATCACCACACAGATTTACTCTTATTATTTAAAATTCAGAATTGTATTGGAGGAAGAGTCAAATCTGCAAAACTCTGGAACCTGGAATCACTTCTCGCTGTTATCCTTAAATTTTCCTGTGTTTATCACTTTCACTACATGGAACACATTCTAGTGTTGAAAAGCTGAATAACCTACGACAGTAAAACAGATCAGATGCAAGTTTCCCAGAAGTATTGAAGTAAATATGGAAAAATATCACATACATACATACATACACAAAAGAACATGCTATGCAGTGCAAACATTTAACTAACAGGCATCTTACTAGACTTACAGTGCTATAGCTGCTTAACAGAGCTCTAATACACTGACAGTAATAACTGTAACGCATGGCCATAAATGGTAAAAAAAAAAAACACACAAAAAAAACCCAAACCACAAAACAACAAAACATTTTTGAAACTAAACATCTTTTAGAAATGTGCTTATCATTTACTTTTAAGTTTTTGTTGTTTCAAACACAACAAAAATGTTATTTTCAGATTAAAAAGACACAGATATTCCCAGATGCAGATAATGCAGACACAGACTCAGGGAAACTAATTTACTGTTCCAGCATTATGTAACTTGAACTGTTGAAACTAAAACTTCTGAGCAAATGCAAAGAGCTGACAAGACAATATTGTACTGAAATTGTAGGCTGTGTACCAAAAAAGAACAAAAATCAATGCTTCATTAGATGAAAGTTTAGAAAAATTCATGTTCAGGTTACACTCCCACAATACTTTTAAAATAACAAACCCCTTTTTTCATAAAGCTGATACAGAACTGAAAAACTAACTAAGGTCGTAAGTGACGTGACCTGTGGTGTCCTACCAAATTCTAAAACTGCTTTGTGAGTATGCTTTCATTACCGAGTCTCTAGAGAGCTCTTCCATTCTGCCTTTACAAAAACCAAACCTGCTGGGGTGACATTATTATTCGTTTTTTAAATATTGCATCTTTTAAAAACTGAAACTTATAAAAAAATGGTTTTAAGAGTGCCAGAATTATTTTAAAACTGCAGTGAAAAGTTGCAAAGAAAATTACGCTCAGGCACACATTATATTATTTAAACATAAATATTAGCAAAATTCCCTGCTTAGCTGAACTCACTTTTGATATGGCTGTACTAAGCAGTTAATTTCTGATCTCAACCTTGCTTCTGTAAGTCAGTTTGACACTAGTTTAAGCAAGAAAAGGATCCAGCCCTACTGATACTTCAATAGACCTGTATTACCTTATCATTCATTCAGGGAAAGACCACCACTGGAAGACTATAGACTAGAAGACAAACAGAGAACTTCACTATTTTACTGGCACTGCAGTTTTCTTTCAACAGAGCATTTCAGGAGATGATCTGTCTCATTCTTAATTGCTCTCTTGACAAATGTAGCTACTCATCACCTTTTGAAAACTTGGTAGATAAATTTCACAAGGAAATAGAACGAAATTAACACACCAGTATAAAACAAGTACAAAGGTGTTACTGGGCTAAGATGTTTTAAAAATTAGTAGTAGTAATAGTACGAAAGAATGATCCCAGCCTTCTCAGGAGGTTTGTGGATACGCTTGTTATATGAATTAACATTTTTTTATGTATCAAATAATGTATTTCTTTGGCAAGAGGAAGGATGAGGATTTTAAATTGGTAACAGTTTATGGTAGAAAATATATAGTATTTTTTCCAAAATACAAAATTTTGTAAATCAAAAATACCTGTCATATAAAGAGGTAATACCTTATAAAATGCTGAAGGAGGGGATCCTTTTGCTCCGTGAACTTTCACTGCCCCACCATCAAAACCTACAGTGGTTAAAAATCAGTATTTAAGCTTCTTCAGTGTAACTTTCAAAGACGTTCTTCTGTGATACTTATTAAGCAAATGCACTTAATTAGAAATGAAATCACTGATAGCTGCACTGCCACAGAAAAGAGAACCTTTCAGGAAATGGTCCTCCCTGCCTTAGAAACCCAAACAATAAATTAGTGACTGAATTTGTGACTTCAGTGAGGCTTTTAACAGAATGATTGAAATGTTTATTCATGTACTTAAAAAACACTTAACATAGAAAGCAGCCTTAGGACTTCAGGCCCAACACTTACTCTCCACTTAACATAAAGTTATTGCACATACACAGAGCAAACAATTTACTGTAGTTGGTTGGAGTCGACTGAGGTCCTTCACTTGGTAAAGAAACAGTACAACAAAGATGAGAAACCAAAAATGACAGCTTATTTGCTGATAGCTTATTAAGTGAAGAGAAAACTTTAGCCTTTTTTGTCAATAACAGAAACAGAACAGTCTGAATGTATGTTCCTGTGCAATTACCATGTTCAGTATTAGGAATATTAATACCAAAAGGGAACTGAAGAAAATTGCCATCATGGCATCAGGTTCAAGCCTGAACTGGAGAAAGTTAATAGGCGCAGCTCCCTGAAAACCAGCCATGCAGGATCAGCGTCAGACCTCACGTCAGACAGACAGCATTACACTATATAGCTCACTTGCAGTTAACCTGAGCTTGCAAATATTGAGGAAGCAGTTCAAAGCTTTACACAGATACCCTGAAAAGATCAAATCAGAACTTATCTGAAAAAGTGAATGTGACTAGCAGAAATCTTACACATCACTCAGATAACATCATCACTCTCTCTGCTAGATTGACATAAAACTAATTTAATTCTCAATAAAGAATGATATCCCTACAGTCAGAGTGAAAAATCTGAAAGAGTTTCACACAGGTGAAGGAGTAATACAAAGAAAAAAAAAACCTGCACAAAACTAAATGCATAGCATGCATCAACAAAAAGAAAACAGAAGCACCTCTCAGTTCAAACATTGCAAGTAATCCAGTAGGACAATAAAATCAGCAATGTAAACAGCAAAAAATAGATAGCTTGCTTGTTTTTACTGGTGTACGTGTCAAAGCACTTCAAACTAAAAATATTTAAGAAATCTGCCCATTTTCCATCTGTTATATTTCTAAGAGGGCTAACTGAAAGTTCATGTGGAAGTTCATTTTAAGTTCAAACATGTCATATCAGGTCATTTGCAAGCTAAAAGTTCATAGGAAGGTTAGGGTTTCTTTTTTAGTTTTATAATAAAAACTAGTGGCTAAGAGCAGCAAACTGGTCTTATCAGACAGCCATTTGGTTCACTGTGCAATTTTACAGTACTTTTATTATTGATGCAAAACAGTTTTGATGCAAAACATTTTTGATGCTATGTGTTTTGAGTTTTATCACAGTAAGATTTTATTTTAAGATATCGATTCTCCTAAGTTTTATAAAGACACTCAGCATACTGTCACAGGTAATTTCCATTAGAATGAAAGAATATATAATACAGATCCGGTAAAAAACAAATGTCAAATGACCATAGCTAAGCATTTTTTCCAAGCCATCTTATCCAACCAACAGATCTTCAAATCTGTTAAGCCTGGGGTCTTTTTGTTTGTTTTGTTTTTAAAAGTAAATGCAGAACACACATTTCCACCTCTAGTCTACCGGCTTTTGAGAGTTTCAAGAATAGTAAATGGACCTTTTCAAACTGACATTCTTTGGTGGAAATCCTGTACCTCAGCACACTTCGACCACTTAAGAAGATCCAGATAAATGCCTAAGAAAAACACTATTACCAAGTAGTGCTTTGAAAGACACAACTTTTCCATTGTTACTAACATTTCAAATGCCATATGAGAAAAAAAATGTACAATTTTATTTTTTTTTTGAGCAAAGAAACTGAGCAGTTTAAAAAGAATACTGAAATCACAGTGGAACTGTCTCAGTGTTGCTTATCCAGAACATAGTTTAAAGACTTGGTATGTGCAAGGCATGCATTAAGAAGTAAAGCAAAAGGAGCAGTGAGCAAACATTTAAATTAGCCAGCCAACAAGATAAATCAAGAACATGATCAGAACTTCTAAAGGAATTTCTAGCAAAAGTCACTGAAAAATCAGTTTAATACATATCACACTTTAAGGAACTGACTGAACAAGGAATATGCAGAGAAAACACGGAAATTAACTGCTTTAGTTTGATAAAGCACGGAAACTCAAATAAATGCTTCAGTTTGATAGCTCAGTTCACTGACACAGATCTCTTAACGTATAAGGGAACTAACCTGGAATTTCAGTGATAGAAACTTTGGAAAAGTCACATGTGACATCTGGTAAGAGACAGCGCTGAGGATCGCCCAATTCATACACCAGCTGTTCAGCTACAGTGCCGAAAGAGATTAGTCCCCCAGTGTCTGGTGGTTTGGAAAGAATGAAGTCTCCTTCAGAGGAACATTCTACAATGGGAAAGCCTATGTTGTGCCTAGAATATGAAAGACATTGAAAAAAACCTATGAATACACAGGGAAAGCGAAAAGAAAAATGAGTAACATACCAGAATTTTACAGTAATGACTAATTAAATAAAACTGATCAAGACTTGTAACGTTATCTGGTTGTTTCTGCAGAAAAACACATAAGAAAAAGCACTGACAAAACTGCTCAACCAAAATAATATGAGGACACATTTTATTTCCTGGCAAAGACTGCAGATATAACAAGAGATATCAACAGTAAACAGACAGAAGTGGAGCAGGAAATGGAGAAGGACACTAACAAAAATAACTAAAGTAAAAAGAAGCTTAAAGAATTAGAGAACTATGATTAAAGAGGTAAATTCAGAAGAGGCATCACAACTGCTAATTCTAGGCTAGTCTGGCTATGGCAGCACACACAGCATGAAGGTGAAGATATGTAAATATATCCTGCACTCTGGATTTGAAAAAGGCAGTCAAAGCGGGAAGAACAGACTATGTTGGAAATCTCAGAGATGAAGGGAAGCAGGAGACAGGAGTAATCACACTTACTACAAGCAATCTCACATGTTAATAATAACTTACACACAGAAAAGTTATAATCATAAATCAGAAAGATATATGAAAATTAAGATCTTCAGCCCAGAACAATAATAATAAAAGAATGAACAGAAAATTATGAGGCATAGCAAAAAGAAAAACAGTAAAGGAGAAAGTTATAGATATGTTTGTAAATGAAAATACTCTTTCTCCTCACATTCTCACCAGAGTAATACACAGAAAGTGATCAAGTAACTCCTAAGTTTGCAAGAGGCACACTTTGGTCATTACAGTAGCAGGGCAGAATTTCAGGTTCATGTGGACAAGATCTAGATATCTGCTCTCCTGGATAAAAGGCTTTTATTTTATTTACAGAGAATTTGAGTAAAAGTAATAACCTAAAAATAATGAGGTGCCTGAAAATTAAGAGAGACTTAATATTTTTCTAAAAAGGTCACCTGGCTCACTCCCCTCTCACAGGAAGTTGGAAATCTGTGCAAGTAAAGTATCCCAGAGACGCAAGGAGTTAAGGAGATACAGCCCCTTGCAAAAGCAAAACTGTTACAAAAGGGTCCTAACAATGAAAGGTGGTGAACATCATGATTCTCATTAAAGAATGAGATTAATCAATGACCTTCAGGTCCATCGTACACAATTAAAGTTATCCGATCCCTGAAATTAACTGGTTTTGTGTGCTAGTGGTAACAGTGTGCTGAACATACAACCAAATTGGTTATCAGCAAAGGTTAGACAAACTTAGCTTGTATAACATAAATCCACAAAGTTCTGAAGGAAGTAAGCAAAGAAACCAGTGAACTCTTCAGTGACATTTGTGAAAGTTCATGGGAGCCTGAACAGATTCCTTATCATTGGGAAGCTTCAAACATAACCCTGTTATTTAAAAAAAGGATTATGAGACAAGCTCCGTTACCAGGGATCAGCAATTTTAATACTGATAGTGTACAAAACTTGCAAAGTATGGTAGCTGGAAGACACCTAGAAAAGCCCATTTCAAATCAGTAACAATTATACTTCATTAGACTGGGCTCTGAAACTATTTAAACCACTAAACAGATAAACGTAAACAAACAACAACCCACAACCCTCACCCTGCTGAATACAAAGAATTGAATGGAATTAACAATTCCTTATACCAATTCTTCTAGGGTTGGAGGGGGTTTTGAGGGGAAAAGAGGGACAAAAATGGCTGCAAGAAGTATGTAACATTCAACATTTTAAAAGTCTGACATAGAAAAAAGTAACACCCCAAACCCCCCTCAATTCCTGGCCCTCAGTATTAATGCAGAGTAACAGACTAACATGTCATTATAACAATTTTACAGGTAAGGAGATATGTACAAGAAGCATCACAATTTGCCCAGTGTTAAACAGCAGGATCAGTGAATGAACAGTAATGCCAGAATTAGGAAGCTTTTACTCTGTTGGTGCCATGCCTTTGTGTTTGACCCTACCATCTATCTGTCTTGTCTTAAGCCAACAGCCTCAGGTACCTTGCCAGCAAGATCAATGAAGCTTATTTGAATCACCTACCCAAAAGTGAAAAATGACTTCCATAAAGACAGATTACCCAGTGCAATCTATCCCACTGCAGTGACAACAGGTATCCTTGCTACAGCCCACTTTGAGCCAAGTCACCAGCACATGCAAGTCTTATTATACATTCCTGAACCTATGGCCCAGTGATCTTTGTTTTGAAGGAAAAAGAGGTGAACTGTAGACCCTCAACTTCCTACTCTGAACCACTGAGTCTACCAACATCAATTTAACTTCAGTTTGGTCAAGCTCCACTCTCAGAAGACCTGAACCATTAAAAAAAAAAAACCATAAAAAACAGCAACAGTATAGTGAGGCAAAAAAAAAAAAAAAAAAAAAATCAGTCCCTAAAATGGTTAAAATCTGGCAAATACTTAAGTCATTAAAAGTAGCCCAATCATGGAAGGCAAGAGATAAACAGTATCAGTATAAACAATACTATTATTCAGGTCCCTTCATGTGCAAAAGGAAGGACAGACTGATTTTCCTGTTATCTTAGGACCATCAAAGTCAAAGTATCTATATGGTAGAATTTTTTATGCTGCCAGAATTCCTGGAAGGAGACCATATAGGTACAAACATACTGTCTGCAGCCACTTCTAAATAACCTCCAAGGTTGAGACATACTTGCTATATAAAAATTGAACTCAGTTCTTACCACTTAGAGCACAGTGCTGACCCAAAGCTTGTAAGAAAAACCACAAGGAGAAAAGCAATTCTAACACAAAAAAACCCAAACCCAAACAAAAATCCAAACAAAACCAAACCCATACCAGCCTTTCCTCCCCTACCCTAAAAAACACCCCAAACAACCAAAACCAAAGGTGACACCCAAAGTCTTCCTAGGAAAGGCATGCCTACACAGCACACTAGCATGTCCTAGCATAAGAATTTTTATGCTATACTTAAAGCATTCTGAAACCCAAGACCCAGAAGGTCAGTGAAAAGAACACTACAATCAGTGACTTACTCTTCGTTCATTTCTCAAAATGTTCATTTACTTCATTCGTGTTTCAAAAGTTAGCAAAGGTATCAAGGAAGACTTTTTGCTTTTGTCTGAGATAAGCGTGAGAGATAAGCATGGTGTACCTCTCAAGGTACACCATTACCCCATGAACTTCCCTGAACGTTCAGTTAGTTAGTTCAAAGACGTGTTCTTCCAGGCCACATCATCCCTGAAAGTTTCCCTCAGTTTTTAACAATTCAAAACACAAAGATCAAATGAATTGAGTAAGATGCCCCTGGATTCTACCTGTACTGTAACTGGATGACTGAGAAAATATATACATCCTATACTGCCATGTAGCAGATGCCAATAATAACCTACATTATGCCTAAGAGAAAAAGGTCTTTTGTGCATTGTTAAAAGACATTAATTAAAATAAATTTTCAGCTTGGAAACAAACTGGGATAAGTCACTCCTATGGCATGATTCAGTCAAGTGACAGCTACTTAAATTTGTCATTAGAGCTCACCAGCAGAAACAGCTCCCTGGATGAAGTATTCCAGCACATACCATCAGTACTTTGATCACACCATCACCCTGATCCACATTTCCACTGAAGGAAATAACTCTTTGCCCAGTTCACTAGTAGGTTTTGCTGGGTAGCGACACGCAATAACATGCCAGCTTTATGCTGGCATAACCCACAGCCATGTTGTAATTTTGTTCAGTGTAGCAGGGGAGTTAAACCGCAGACCAATGAACTTGAACTTAGCAACAACTAGAGTCATGGCATCCAAAGTGGCACAGGGGCCAAGTGGTTTTAATAAAAGAATTGCATCAGTTTGGCCATAAAATCCCCTAGCAGATGGGGCAATATCAAGCAATGTAAACAATTATGAAAGGAAACTACTAAAATGAATTCTAATCAAATTCTATGACAGTATGATTAATAAAATATGAGAAAAAAAATTACTATTTTTAAAACATTTTGAGTAGTTCTTTTAGCACAAATACAGAAATAACATACATCAGTTTGTGAAAGGAGATGACAACTACCATTCTTTCATCCAAAACAGGTTTTGGTTTGTATGTTTGGTATTTAAATAACCAATAAATTATACGCATTAGTAAACCCGACCACTGAATAAACATAAGCCAAGATTAAACCTCAGAAACCTCCTAACAGTTAAAGCAGGTCCTCATTGACTACAGCACACAGATAAAGTTTTAAACAGGTTTTGTTGCTCAAGTTACCTTTCCCATTGACCACCCACAGCTGCTGCCCTACTGTAACAGGAATCAGGATTCTGAAACGGAGTCTCCAGTCCTTTCTCTGCCAGCCAATTACTTAATCTTGGATTATTTTTTCCATGTAAAATGCTGTTTTTCCTTCCATTCTGGCTGTCAGAAATGTTACAATTCATGGGCATGTCACAGGTGATAATGTGAACTGTCTTAAGCAGAGATCTTCTGCCTACTCTGTGATAACGCACTATTCAATCTCTGGTAGCTATGAAGACAGCCTTCCTTCTCATTTTGCCACAAAACTTACACCATTTGTATTACCAAAAAAACTAAAATCCATTATCAGTACTGGGTCCTGTTTGGCTCAGGGAGAAAGATACTGAGATAAAATGGGTATTTCTTCCCTCATAAGGTGCCAAACCCACAAGTATCTCATTCTGGCCACTGCTGATAGACCAAGACTACTGGCAACAAAAGATGGGACAGCTGGTGTAGTACATTAACTTGCAGGGGAAGATCCTGCAAGAAAAAAACAAAACAAAACAAAAAAGCCACAGCAATACACATGACATGGAAGTGAACCAGGGTCCAGCTAGGCTGTGGTATGAACTTTTAGCTTTACAATTAATGCTGTTTCCTGGGATATGACTCAATGAATGTCATGCTGAGGACAGCTCTAAGCTGACCTTCTCAACTCCCTGGGCATGCATTTTAACCACTATGCCATTAAATAAAAGGCAGAAACTGCTACCACTTTAGCGGTGTTTTTACAACCAATTCAAAACTGCTAACGTGTCAGGCATGACCAGCACAAACTTACAGGTTAAGATACAGGCATCTCTTTACATGTAGGTACCAACATGCTTCCTAACTTCTACTGCAATTCCAGTTTAGGCAAAAATTATTGTATCACTTACCTACTCTGACTAGGGCATTTCAGAGTATGCATTGTATGTAAACACTTAATGCCCAGGCAATTTCAGGCCAACCAGACTGGGTGCCTGGTGTTTTCAGCTGCCTGGAATAGATGGCATTACATAGAAAAAGGCATTCCACATTGCTGATTGGGACTCATGCTGGATTCTGTTCAAGTCCCAAATTAAGCAATCTGGATCCAGCCCTTAAGAAACTACAACTATTGACTTACCCTTTTGGTCATCCCAGGCCAGAGGATTATGCAGTCTCAACCATTGCACGCTCTTGGCTTAGGGCAAAATGTCAGTGTTTATCATCTCCTCAAAATGATTACTCTACTGATCAGCATTAGTTTATTCTCTCCTGCATTTCAAAACAAAACAAAACAATGTACTAATCACCCACTGGCACTAAATAATAGTAAGAGACAGCAATGTCTTGGGTTAAATGAAATTAAAAACAGAGCTGTGCATTATCAATATAGGTCTGGCATCACGGTTCATTTCTGCACATTACATAAATTCCCTATGGAGTGCTGCACACTAGACAGTAAATAGGGAGCAGTGATGTATTATCACTTCTTCTGGCCATATGCTGACATACATTACTACACAAATAACAGGAGTGCTTTTTTTTGACACCATTTATTTTAAATCATTCAAGAATGCACACTAGTCTTCTATAAACTGTGAACTAATAGTTTCTTGCATTTTCTCTGCTAAACATGAAAGAATTCACACAAGAGGCAAGTCAAGCAGCACTCTTCTCGCTGGAAAAGTAAACAGCATCTAGCCCCTCTATCTGTCTGACCATTTTCATGCAAACTGGACAAAACCTTACAGCTTCAAGATCCCTGCCTTTAAGTCAAATACATTAAGGAGATACTGCCAGCACAATTAAAAAATTCCAGTGCCTCAGTTCAGCAGACAGAAACCAATTAAGTTTGGCTTCTGTTAAATAAAGGAACTTGGGAGAGTCACAAGTTGGAACATATACTTTACTTATTTTACATTAAAAGCTTACTTTAACAAGACAAAAAGAGATTTTAACAGCTAATCATTCAATGGCCACAATGTATTCACATGAACATTACTGAGGCTTAAAGCATCTTTTTGCAGTGGAATTAAGTTTCCAGAAGCGGTATGCATCAGCCATTTCAAGAAAATTTATTAAACAAACTCCCACAAAACTAAAAAAACTATGGTGGATGAATGAAGTGGGTCTAATCCAGTGCCTCAATACTCCTAAAGACATGATAATATATGCATGGAATTTGAGCTCTGACTCTTGCTTTGCCTAGCTTTACTTAGTTTAATTTAAAGTGCTCTTGTTTACACAGCTGATTATTTTTTCTTAATAGATAAACAATAGACAGATAAGGTTTATAAGCCTAAAATTGGATAAATTCTTCCTTTTTTGTTTACAAGTTAAAAGAACTTACACCCATCAGTCCTTCTTTACAGTACACTTACACCTTTTTCTGCAGCCAAACACAGAACAGCAATGTACACTACTGTTCTTGGGGAGAAATAAAATCCAAAGAGAGTCAAAATATGACCAGAGTCCAATCATAACCAAACCTACCCTCTGCAATAAGATGTGACAAAAAGACAGACTGACCTCTTGACCAGAGAACAGCATAAATACTATGAAAGGTTCTCTTAAGCTCTAGTGTAAAGGTCCAGAAAACATTTGCAGAGCTGAATGGTAAGTAGTCTTGGCTGCATGAACACACAGCAGTGGGAAATTTATATTTGAAAGGCACTCTAACGACTAACAGAAATTTGACTTTGCTTCTTTCCCTGCATTTAATGACTTTGTTGGGCTGATCTGGAATTAACATTATGTATCACAGACGCTATGATTTATTGAGATCTAAACTATATACCCTTACTTTCAGGAGACTGCTAAAAATGTAGCTTTTCATAATTGAGGGAGAAATCATTAATACAGCATACTGAAGTAACTTCTGCAAACTCTGCCAGAGCTCTGCTGACCTACTGGCAATACAACCGATGCTGGTGGCAGCAAATATTGCATGTTTTGGTTATCTGGTCATTACTGTATTATTAATGTGCATTATTACACAATGCATTATCTGCATGCATTGAAAAAAGATTCAGACTAATAACAAAAAAAAACCCATGCCATCAAGTTTCTTTAAATTAAGGAGTCAACAGGTTACTATTAAGCTATCAGATGGAAAACGTGGTTTAGTACAGACCAAAAGCTTTCGTATTTCCTCTTCATGCATTTGGACCTAAATATAGTAAACATCTATTTATTGGGGTGGAGGGAGAACAGCAAAGCTCCAACAGATCTCCTCCCCTCCTAAATGGATGTGCTGGACTACAAGCCCACTTTAGTCAGTCATCTACTCTGCCTCTCCAGACATAAAGTTCACGTTAGCTTGGTTTTGACTAGATCCAGGAGTTTATCACACAGGCTGACACACAACATGCTTTTATTTCAAGAATTTCATCAACTAAATGCTTAAAACTTACTGAATTTGCAAACAAACCCACTAGTTTTAAAGCACCAGGATTAATTCTTTAGTAGACAACCTGAAAGTAAATAAATTACTGTTAGCACAGTTACAATCATGCATAGTTCAGAAGGATGCAATGGGACAAGGTAACAGAACCGTATTAGGTGCTGACCTTCTATATTGTTTAGCAGCAATACAAGCCAGGACCAGTCAGCTCTAAGCCACAAGACTACTACGATTTTAGATACAGTTACATGATTTTTATATATACCCACATGGGTAGTAGGTAAGCATATCCAAAGTATGTACACTTGTCTATAAAATTAGGTACACCCAAATTTTTATGAGCTACACCAGTAGTTCATAGCTTAATAAACTCAAACTTCCTTTTTTTTTCTTTTTTCCCAAACCAGACTGCCATTTCTCAAAGAAAAATCCTTAAAAATAAAGAACTACCTAATCATTTTAATATGAAAAGTAGCATTTTCCAAGATTCTCTTTCTTCCTTTCATTCTTTTATAAAGCAAGGTCTTTTGGATAATACAGCATAGTTAAGTCATCAGGAAATACATCAGAATAGGAATGAAATTAGCACTTACAAATTTCCAAACTGAACACTCTCTTGTTACTATAAACTCTCTCATTTGACTTCCTACTAAATACAACAGTAAGTCCAGTCTGTTCAGGGCTAGTAGCCTGACAACAGGTGAAAAGAAATGGTCTGACCTTTCACCTATACATCAGCAGTGTTCAGGAACTCAGAAGAGCAGAATGCACCTTTCAGCACCACACTCAATCTGAAACAGCCACTACAAGGAGAATTAAAAAATCTTGGCAGCCCTAGGTAACTACTCAGGAGAGCAGCTCTTCAGATTGAAGGGCCCAGTGTCCTGCTGTTTCATCCACCTGGACTACAGGTTGTTCCCAGTGGCCGTCATCCCAGAGTGACATTAGAAGCAAGAACACACAGGATTAAAACCACACTTCTCTCCTGCATTTCTCCCACTGCTTTTTCAGCACTCTCCTCAGTCATGTAAAAGCAGCACTGCCTTTTATGTGACATGGCACAGGACAAGATTCTTCTCTCTCATCCCAAGACAATAGGGATAAACTGCAGCCAGAATCACTCATCCTACCTAAAACATATTCCCTATTTTTAAGCTACTCTTAAAAACAAGTTGGTCAAAAGGAGGCTATATTAAGTCCTTCCTCAGCAGGCAGAAGGGCCTACCTGTGTGAAAATCCAATTCAGTAAGACTGAACACAAGATATGTAACTTTTTTGAAAGGACTTGGGATCTCCACAGATGTGTTGAGCTACATCATACATCAAGAGGTATGCATTCATCTCTACCAAAGCAAATGACATAAAATTTGTGACTGAACAGTAGGCAACTGATCTAGCTGATGACTAATGCATATTGTCTGTCTCATTACAATAATACATAAAAGCCAATAATAAATCTTTCAAAAGAGCAGATCATAAAGGAGAAAAAAATAAAAATCAAAGCAATAATTTTTTTTAAATCATCGGCTTAAGTTAACAAAGCAAGCCCCCAGTTGGCCAGAAAGGAAAACTGCAACAGGGAGAACAGACCACAGAAGAGTAACATTAATATGGAAAAATATCAAGAGGCCCATATTGCTTCCTTCAAAAGAATAAAGTAGAAGCAGTTATCACAACACATATAGTAGGAAACCTCATCTTTGGTCCCCTACAGACATACATGCTGATGTCACAATTACATACCAGTCTGGTACTGTATGCCAATCAGTGAATATTCCACCTGTACACTGAGCACCACATTCAATGAGATGACCTGCAAGGCTGGGAAAATGACATTCAAATAACTAAGTATTCTGTAAAATCAAGTTTCACAAATCCAGCTTAAAAATTATAATAGTAGTAACAAGGGATTCTGAAAGATGAGTGTAAGAAGAGTTGAAAGGAATAACTTCTACATCAAGAATCAACTTCCAGGGAAATAAGAACACTTACAAGCTTATCTAAATATGCACAGCACATTTTTAAATCAAGAAATAAAAGATCTCACTTCAAACGTGAAGGACAGAATGTATTATGATTATGTACTATGATTTTCAAATCTCTAATTGTGATATTCCACAAACACTCAGGAGAATTAGAAGGAAAATCCTTATCTATCATCCCCAATTCAGCTGAGACAAAGTTTCTCTCCACATTTATTCTCATGCAAAAGGAGATCAAATCATTTTATTACTAGGTGTACTCAGGTGCCTATGCAGTCACTCATTTTTATAGACTTCAACACAGTCAGATTACACAGAATATTAAACTAGGCGACAGAATTTTACCCTATGCTTTATACACCAGATTCCTAACCTCAGGGCTTACAACTAGGGTTTGCAAATGGAGTACTGACACTTAGCTTCTGCAAAACCATACAATGATGCTGACCTCTGACTGAATCTCTCACTATGCATCTTTGAGGATAAGACCTGCTACCATCTCAACTATCAACAGTGATGGCAAACAGGAAAAGCTGAGAATTGCTGATCTACACTGTAAGGTTTCACCTCTTGACACAAAATGGAGAGGAAGAGAAAGTTAAGCTGTTTAAATAAAATCATTCACTCCTTTCCTCATTTTGTATTTTAAGTGTATTCCAAATGAAGTTTCTATAATTTCAATTCCAAGCAACAGTATTAAATGAGCCTTACAAAAGAATCCAAAACCTAACAAAAACATTTAAATAAATACTTTCAATAATAACATGCAAAATCACTGATTAAAAAGTTTTGTTATCCTGACATTATGCTACAAAATATAAATTTACCCATTTCTTCTTATATCATTTACCTTCCCGCAGCTAGCAAGTCAAATTCATCCCTATTCCAGCCAAACTACAAGAAAAATACAAAAGTGTTAAATATAGAAACATTTCATACAGTACAGAAAACTGCATATAGTGTGTTCACTGCTTTGAGTGACAATGCATTGGATATGTTTTTACTTAACTGCAGAAATCTAAAGAACAGTAACTGGCAGAGGCTGTAAGTGGATTTGAGTTGCTATACAGTGAGTTTGTTAAAGAGCTCTGATGTATTTCAGTTTTCCTCTTATTAATACACAAATATAAATTCTCATAGTCACACATTCTTTAAACAAACTGGAAGTGAAATGTTATTAAAAATTTGCATGAGCCAGAATTTTTAAAGTCTAGCATCTATTTTGTGTCATGGAAACAGACCAGTACAGATTTTCAGGTTTTTTGAAGATTATCACTTCCTGAAGTACTACAAGTCATCCTTAATAACTGGAAATATATTTTCTGTTTAACTAGAAATTATTTTTCCCCCAAGTTCAACACAATGCAAGCAATATATTCATTGTTTCTTACTTAGACTATGGCAGAAGACTCCCTAAAATCTTTCAGTAAATTAGATAAGGCTGCTCTGGCATAGATAAAACATACTGACAGCTATTTTAAGAATGTAAATAGCTAGGAATAAAATAACCAAACACAATGGCAATTACAAATGGGAAAGTTTAATTCTAGATTAGGCAGTGTTGGATATGGAGGAAGTCAGGAGAGTATGAAGTTTTAGAAAGGATGTTTGTAACCAGACATTAATGTATACCCTCTTTTTAACTCTTCTTAATGTGCACCAAAAGAAAGCTTGCATATTTCACAGTGTGTGGTCATTCCCAGAAATGTATAACCTGCCTAAAATACTTCAGAAAACCACATATCCTGCTTGTATAATTTAATGAAATTCCAATAATTTGATAAATGTTGCACTGAAATTCAACTATTTAAAATAATACTGTTTATCCATTAAAAAGAGACCAGTGTTTCAGACCACCTGATGTGCCTCCCGAAAAAAACAAAATGAGCTCTACTATCGCCACCTTGTGGTAAAGAAAAACATGGTTTTTCTTAACCTTGCACATTTAAAAGGGGGAAAGTTAACTAGCGAAATGCTGGTGAAACATGATTCTTAGCTTCACAAAATCCAGCTTCATGATAGTCAAGTTCATAAACAGCCCTGCTATAAGTTTAGAAGTGAAAACTGGCAACTTTTCATGCATGTAAGGAAAAAAATAATTAAGTGCTTACTATTTTTAATTAAGTATCTGCATTTTAATAATGGACAAAAACTGGCTAACAATGATTGTTGAATATTCATTCAATTAAGTTCCCTACATGGGAATTAACTTGTACTTACAGAATGAATGAGCGGTCCTAATACAATCCCACTGTCGACACATCTACCTGTCACAACAATATCAGCTCCAAGGTCAAGAGCCCTGCTTATTGGCCTTGCTCTAGAGATGACAAAACACAACAGCAAATACTTCATTTTTTTAATCATTATTAAAAAAAAAAAATCAAATCAGTTTCCTGCCATACACAGGATAAAAATCACTTAAAAAATCCTGTGGGAAATCAGTAAAATCAATTTGTCATTTTGTATATACACCAAGATTATTTTAAAAAGCAAATATCAGAACACCTTATCAAATACAGGTACCTAAATGGCATAATTGAAACACGTAATGCTCACAGAAACTGTCCTGAACACAGTGCATAGAGGATCACTTCTATCATCAGCAAGAGAAAATACTAAGTGTTTTTCAGAGATTCATTACTCTCATTCATTTTATATACATGAGTATATAAAACAACGCCAATAGTCTTCACAGAGAAAGCTTGGTGACTTTCCCCTCCAACTTTAAACCCTCCAGATGAATTTCTGTGTTTTTAGACCTTGCAATATCAACCAACTTCAAAGAAAATCACTGTGCAATCATTATTTCTGAAGAAACTCAGACCACAGATTTTCCAGATTCTTCAGGTAAGAGTCAGCACAGTCAAAATTTGTCAGGCTTGAAAATATTCACCCAGGTGAACTACTCAAGTTTATATACTTTAGTGAGCAAGCTTTGACCAGAGTGCATGGCCCCTGGCTTCTAAACCCATGATATCTGCTGGACCCTTCTATTCTTTATTAAATAGGCAGCTTGAAGACACAAACCACATAAACCATGGGCCTTGAAGAACAAAACCAAGTGCAGTGTTTTTCCACAGTTTGATAGACATAGCCTTGTTTTTGTCACGAGGTAATTTAGAAGACACAGAAGTTCTTAGTAATGTAAGCATTAAGTACAGTGGTTTGGTTTGGGATTTGTTTTTCCAATACTACCTGAACCAAAGGATACTAGCTAAAACAACAAGCAAATATACAGCATACAGAAAAATTTATACCTCTGGGCACAGTGTTAAGTAACCCTCATAGGTAAAAAAAAAAAAACAAATGGGGTTTCTGCATACATACAGGACGCTGATGGAAAAACTGCATAATGACCTTTAGAAAGCAGTAAATACAGCTGTTTGCTTCTTACTGTTAAAGAATGTATGTGAGCTTAGTCCACAGAACTCCTAATAGCCCAAATCACGAGAGACAAAAGAAACCCTTCAGGATTGATACCCATCTGAAAAATTTCACTGGGAGTTTACACACTTGAATCAAGAATCAAAACATCATCAGATTCAGGGAATGAAGAGTGAACTATCTACAGAACTTACAAATTGTACCCAATTCACTCTGATGCTGACCTATTTACAGGTGCCTATATATAAATCTATTATTTGGTTTACAAATAAGCATCCACTGCTGATGCTATCAAAGAAAAATGTAACTTCAGAAACAACCCATTTAAGGGGCTGGTAATAGTGTTATGTCAGTGCAACTGAGATTAAAGGGCCCATAAAGAAATACTGTTTTTATTAGAAAACCAAGACCACAAGTCCAATGTTCCAGAATCTGTTAATGAAGCAGAGGTAATGGATTTTTCAAATACCTCATCCTCATACTAGCCTGCTTTTGTCCTCTCTGCTTCAATTTACATTGCTTTTTAAATCTGTAATAAATCATAAACCACCAGAATCAGAATAAACACTCTCTCACAATTACAAATCTTCAACATTGTTTCTTTGATTTCATGTTGTTACCCATGATCTGCAAATGCTGTAAGTCAAAGTTTAACGAACAGAAAATCCAGCTACAACAGAAAATGCTAAATAATAATTTAAAAAGATTCATCTACTAAAAGGCTTTATTTTACAAATTAAAATATATGCTGTTTTAGGTACAGCCATACCCTGTTATGTACCAGTGATGTGTTTTAAAAATGCAATGATAATAAGAGAAAGAGCACGGCAGTTTTTCCATGAACATTAATGTAAAAGAGGAGGGACTGTGTGCAGACTGTATGAAAACGCTGAACAGAAAAACGGGAGGCATCACATACATGACCTGGAGGATGCAAAACCAGGATCATGAGGATCATCAGCTGGGAGAGATGCTGGCTTTTGGAAACACCTGACCACTGTCAAGTAAGGCATCACCAGCAAAGACAAAGAAGTCATCATCCCACTTCAAACTTGTCAGGCCACATCTATAATACAGTGTTCAGTTTTAGTCCCTGTTGTACTAAAAAAAAATCATGGACAGGCTGAAGAAGGTCCAGAAAAAAACTACAAAGACTATGAAAGGACTGGGAAGCCTGCTGCACAAGCAGTGGCCGAGACATCTGGGTTTGCTCTGCTTAGAGAAAAGGCAGCTCATGACAGGCCTTACCACCATGTGCCAGTATTTCAAGAGTGACTACAAAGAAGACAGAGACCCCCTTTTTACAAGTAGTCACATGTAAAATACAAAGGGTAATGGGCGCAAGTTACTGCTGGGGAGATTCTGACTGGGCACAATAGAAGAATTTCCACAATGAGAACAATTAGCCATTGCAATAATCTCCCCAGCTGGACACTTTCAAGATTCAGCTGGACAGGGTGCTGGGCCACCTAGTCTAGGTCATGCTTTGCCTAGAAAGAATGGACCAGGTGATCCTTGAGGTCCCTTCCTAACTGGTATTCTATGATACTATGATTGCCCCATTTCTCAGTTCTCTTCAGAATCTGGTAAGGTTCTAAATTAAAGGATTCTTTACAAATTAAAAGGAATTTTTTTTCTGGTTGGCTGAATAACACAGAGGTGAACCTCACATACTAGGTGGTTGTAGCCAATGTGCAAGAAGTATTTTTCCATAATAAAAACAACTTGTGAAATGACTCACCCAAGATACACATTCATGCTATGAATGCTCTCTGGAAATTGTTTGCCACTCTCTATATCAGTGATACCAGCTCCTTTTAGGTTTTCCTTCTGTCAGAAAACAAAGAGAGCACCACATCAATGAGCATTTTGTAGTTATCTACTCCAAGCCTTTTATTAGTATCAGGCAACAGGTCTACTTCATAGCAACTCTAAGCAACGTGTGAACATTAAAATCAGCAACAACACGAATCAGCTGAATGGCTAAAAGCCCAAGATGCACTTTTAACCACAGTTTTCCAGCACACAGAAAAATACACCAGTCTTTAAAGAATCCTAGTTTATTCACAGATTATCAACTGAAATGAACTGGTATATTCCCTGGGCTTTAAATCTACCTTTAATTGCTGTAGAACTGAATAAATCAAACCCTGAAAACATAAATTTGTCTGCCATAACAGCAGTGGTGGCGTGGCCAGAAAACAAGGCTAATTCTGCAGTTCCAGGTCATACCTGGAATCCATTGTGTTTCCAGAGAGGTAAGTAGGTAGGGAAGGTGGGCATTTTTGACCATGTATTGGTAGCTTGGGAAACCAGTGGATCCAGGGGCCAGTGACTGCATAGACTCGGTATCTAATGCTAGTTACAGGGTGAAACTATAGTGTGGAAAAAATCATTCCCTGTTGAATTAATTTGGTATTCTATTGAAACCCTACCAAACCACAAGTAACATTTCCTAGTTTTATTTATAATGTCTGGTATCAACAGTAGGAGTTGTCTGTAGACAGTAAATGCTGTCTCTTTTTGTTCCTGTAAGTTATGTACTGACAATAGAAAATCCATCTCGGATCAGAAATGTCTGTGCCAAGCTCAAACAATTCACTGTCATACTAGTAATGAAATTCTGGACCATGAATGCTAGAGATTTCAGTAGGACAGAAGTTCCTTGAAAGGAAGTCGAAGCACTGCACATAATTTGCAAATAAAGAATCTTACTTGACCATGTTCCACACTGAATAGCATGCAAGGAGGAACAGAACCTACACAGATAAATAATTTTCCAAGTTAAAAGCAGAGATCTAACCACAGCACAAACCTATCCCCTCTTAACCATTATCAATGTGTAAACTCTTTTCACAATATCTTTTCAGGTATGGCCAATGCTTTCTGCAGAACCAGAGTTTATACATAAAGCAACATCCTTTAATTCAAAAAACCTATGTGTTTCATCTTTCAAGTTTTGGTTGGCTGGTTGTTTAATGTTACAGTTTCAATACTCCCACTTAACATTACCTTACCATTCATAAACTAATTACTTGGAAATAGAAATTACTACCTATAAACAAAATGACACCAGGAAATGCCTGTAAATTACTGAACACAGCTAGAAGAGATGAACATTTGAATATGTGGTAACTACATCACGTTTAAGTCCAAGAGATTTTAACAGTCAGGATTATTTAGTTTAGGCAGAAACAGTAACACCTTCTTCTCCCAAAGAGCAAGCAGCCCTTAGATCACACTCAGTTCACTTAAAAAAGATAAACAGCAGACCCAGTCATAAAACTCCCACCCTACACACACTAAACACAGCTGTACCAAGAACTGTTTTCATGCATAAAAAAATAAAATGAAGCAAAATTTTTAGATGCCTTTAATGGTAGAAGGCTACTGCATAAAGATACACAAAATAAGTTCCTATAGGGCAGTAAATGCCACCTTCATGCTATATAGACTAATTTTCACAGAGCTACTAAGCCTTAAGACAAAGTACAATACCTCACTCATTAAATCATCTCCAGCAACAACAGCTATTTTCAAATCAACATCTGCTTTCTTTGCCACCTCCTGAAGGGCAGCTGCACAAGCAAGCGGATTAACTCCCCCAGCGTTACTGATGACACGAACACCTAAACAAAAAAGAAACATCAAGTGCAGCAGTGTCAACAATCACTTATATTTAAAAAAACTTTAAAAAGCATGCTGGAACACAAGCAAGGTATCATCAGACATCTAAGAGAGCACTAAAATCATGTTAACATATGTACCCCACTTAATCTGTCAAAGGATCAGGGTAAGTCAATGCAGAATCGTTTACAGAAAAGTAATTGTTACAGATACTTCCCACCTTTCCTTTATACATGGAAGGAGAAAGCGACCACAAACACATACATGATGAGGCAGACAGTATCAAAACAACTCCTACAGAAACAGTATTTGACACCAGTCATTCAAGAACCCAGGCTCTTCAAACAACTGCATTTTAGCAGAAATACGCATCTATCTCTTATAAACTCCAGACTGTGCTACCAAGGTACTGGGTACTTTGACGTGATTCCCTTTCTCCTCTCAAGCTCAGAAAGCTGTATAGCCATACTAATGTAAACAGAGGAAAAAGTAATCAGGAAATACATGATATTCTACAATTATATGGGAAGCCCCAGAAACTTCTACACTGCATTGAAAATGTGTAGCTCTGATGTTTTAACAAAGACCTGTAAAGTGATCTTCCATTCAGAGATTAAAGCTACAATAAGAAATATATGGAGATGTATGTACATATTTATAACAAGCATTTCAAATTAATCAATTTTAAACATCACCATCAGACTGCACATCTATTATGACAAGTTTTTGCTGATGCTTTAAAGTATTATTCCTAGAGGACAGCAAAACACTGGGGTAAAAAGCATCCATTTACAGTAACAGAAACCGCACAAAACTCACCTAAACAAGTGAACTGAATTAACATACAAACTCATGTGAAGAGTAGCATACCTTTCCTGTGAATATCTTTTATATAGGGAGCCATGGCAGCAGAGACAAAATCTGGAGTGTAACCTAAAACCTGAAATAATTAAAAGCTGTAACCATCGGTTATGGTTAAGTTAACCCAACCCCCTTCCTTGGTTAAGATAGAAAAGAGGGAAAAAACCTAGTTCTCAAGATGTTTGGATAATGCCATGGAAAAGGACGTGAACACTTCCACTAGGTTAAACTGAATATGTAAAAAAAAAGGCCAACTTCTATGGGGCTTTGAGCAACCTGGTCTAGTGGGAGGTGCCCCTGACCATGGCAGGGGCTTGGACCTACATTATCCCTTCCAACCCAAACTATTGTATGGTTCTATGAAACGAATACATTTAAGTAACAAGCACGCAAAAGCAAACGTGTCCCCATAACCTGCCATGTCCCAAGAGGACCCGGAGTACCATCCGCATCCGAGGAGAGCTCGGAGGCACGGGAGCCCTCGCATCACCGCGGAGCGTCACCCGACCCAGCCCGGCCCCTCGCCTGAGCTAAATTGGGCATTCCGGGGCTGAGCCGCAGCTACTTACGGGAGACCGGGCTTTGGCAGTCGCCAGCAACGACACTGTAATCTCCGAGAGATAATCGAAGACGAGGAAATCCAGCTTCCCTCCGTACAGCAGCTGCGGCACTGGCGGGGCAGGGAAGAACCGGCCATGAGCATCGCGGTATCCCGGCCCTGCCGGGGGGCAGCGCTGAGGCGGGGCGCGCCGAGCCGGCCCACCCTGCTCTCGGCGGCTGCCATGCGGGCAGCCCGCCCCGCCCGGGCGTGCAGAGACAGCCCTAGCCCTGCTGCTTGCGCAACGGGGATGTTTGCGGCGCTAGTAGCCGCCGCCCGTCCTGCCACGGGTCTCGCCAGGCTTCCGTGCCCCACCGAGAGCCCCCACTGCCCAGCCGGCTCTCCCCGCTACCCCCGCAGGCAGCTGCCTCCATGGCCCCGTGCCTATGCCTACCCGCGATCGCCGTGTCTCCCCAGAAGCCCGAAGCGCAGCCGATGCGCACCGCGGCTCCCGCCGGGGGCTCACAGCCGGTGCTGCGCCGCCTGCTCCAGCGGGGCGGGTGGGCGACGGCCCTCAAGAGCCGCGGTCCCCTAAGTCCCAGCAGGGCAGCACAACTCATAGTGGTGGCGGCCCAGCGATCTCCGGGCTCTGCGGCACCGCCCCTGGCTGAGGCCAGGGCCCGCCCCGCAGAGTGGCGCCGGCCCGGCTCGGCCCAGCCCAGCCTAGCCCGCGGGAGCAGCCTGATGGATTGCTGGGATCGCACAGGGGGCAGGTGGGGTGATTGGGGAAAGCGAGGGGAGGAGGTTTATAAACCCGATTTTGCTGGGGAGAATGGCAGAAGTTGGGGAGCTCCCGCTCGGGCCGGCCGATGGTGAACGGCTGTGATGGCTCCAGGCAGCATGTGCCTAAAGGGGGCATCTGGCTTTTGGTTTTATTCTGTCCCATGCCAGACATGGATCCATGGCAGGCAGGTTTGGGGCTGCTGCATCACGGAGATGCTCAGGGTTGGCAAGGGCACACGTGCCACTTCTGGAGCTCCACGCTTGGAGTGTGGGGTTAACCATAAAGTGGAAACCCCATTTAGGGCTATAGTAATGTCAGTCTGGGTATGAAATTTTAATGACTCTGTCTCCTCCTGTAAATAAGAGATGTGTTTATTTAAAAATAAGTCTTTCTGTGGGCGTACAGGTCTCCGTTTCTGCAGGAAGGGGTTTGCAGGTCCCAGACTGTATTTCTAGTTAGTGGATGTGAGGTAAATGTCACCAAAGCAGCAAATTCCCCAACATGTGGGGAGGAATAATTTTGCAGTCCTTTGGTCTGCATTGGAGAGCTGTCTGAACACACTGTATATTATGAGGAAAGGCTTATTATGGAGAGCGACTGTTTAGCAGGGCCTGTTGCAATAGGATGAGGGGCAATGGTTTTAAACTAAAAAAGAGGGGAGATTCAATGATGAATCCACATCCTTGTGAGGAAGAAATATTCACATCCATGTGAGGAAGAAATATTTTTACACAGAGGGTGGTAAAATACTGGCACAGGTTGCCTGGAGAGGTGGTGGATGCACCATCCCTGGAGACACTCAGGGCCAGGGTGGGTGCACCATCCCTGGTGACACTCAAGGCCAGGCTGGATGCAGTTCTGAGAAAGCTGATCGAATTGAAGGGTGTCATTGAAATTGAAAGCTGATCATTGCAAGGGTGTCAAACAGATGGCCTCTGAAGGTCCCTTCCAACCCAAACTATTTTATGATTCTATCTCCACAAAGGGCTGATCACATAGAGGTACTTCACAGTGACTCCCTTTCTACAGAAAATCAACATCATTCATCTGGTATGACAAGGGCTATGACTGAATTGCTCTTACGTGCTATTCTAATGCAATAGCTTCCAGGCCTCCCTTAACACATACACTATGATACTAAGGGGTTTTTTTAATTGTCTCTTGCAAATGAAACGATAAAAGTGGGGTCTTTGCAGGAATGCTGAAAAACACAATGTTCAGTGAGGCATTGAGAGTGCTAAGTATGTGATGACAAGAGCTAGTTTTACTGATATATAAAGTAGCCATGTTGAAAATACATGAACAAGTACTTCTGAAAATTGTTGTCAAAGTGTCCGGTTAGACTAATTTCTAAATGCAGTTGAGAGAAGATAGAAAATAGTCATGATCTGGTTTTAGAGTTTGGTTCTTAGATGCAATGTTTTCCTACTGCAAAAAGGACATAAAACACCCTTCTGACCTTCTCAGTGCCTAAGAAGTGATGAACAGTTACTGTCCTAATTTATTAAACAGGCAGAACCAAGAAGGTAACAGAGAAAAGCTGGTTCCCTACACATAGAGAGGACCTAACTTTTGATTAGCAAATTTTTGAAGCATTTAATTATTATGTTTAAAGCCTGCAGGTTTTGAGTCCCTATAAACTAGTAAACATCCAAATAAATCACACTGGGGGAAAAAAAACCAGCACAAAAATGTGTTATGTATATATAGCTGACTGCAGATAGCTTTGTCCTAAATATGTGTTGTAGTTCTTCAAAATAAACTTTGAAGCAAGAAGCAGAAAGAGCACCATCTGGTAAAAAATACACAGCTATCAGTGTAGCCATAAAGACAAACGCTTTCTGTAGTTAAAATTATAAGTGGCTTCCATGTGTGTTACAATGCACATTGGAATACATTGCAATGTGTATTGAAGATCCAACTTACTGTAACATAGGAGGAAACATGGCTAATCCTTAGCAAGTCTTCAAATGGTCTCAAATCCAGTAGTGAAAATAAAATGCCATTTACCTTGGCTGAGGCTCCATAACCAACATGCTGCAGTCCTCATTCACTTCTGTGCTTAAGCATAGCCAAAATAAATGCCAATCACGAATGAGCATCATAATTTATACCTCATGAATATAAGTAAAGCTCCTGCTGAAATGGGTTGGGCCAAGATTTCGTGCTGCAAAACTGAGTTTCTGGATACGAGAAGCCAAGGCGACATAAACAGTGCGGACCAGAGGCCAGTAGGTGGCTGTGTTTCACCACCAGCCGCACCCGCTTCGCCGGCAAAGCCATCTGATGCCCCAAGAAGTGTCATCTGCTCCCAGCATCCCCTGTGCTGTCTGCACTATGTAGAGAGTCAAATGTGACCATTTCGCCCTGGATGAACAAATACATTTTCTCTATATTAATATATAAGTATTCACCTGCACCTGTGTTCACTGGTAGAATGGTTTCGGAATCTACAGGGTGCTTTATTCTTTTTAACTTTCAAATACTTTTGTAGCCTGGTTTGACAGCAGCTGCCATTTGTTCTGTGAAGGGCTGGGTCTTGCTTTGTCAGAAACCATTTTAAGGCCTTAGGGAGCCTTAAATGCAATTTTAGAAAGTTTGAAAATGATATTTATGTGTCTGTGAGAAAATGAATATCCAACGTGTATAAAATACTAGTACACAACTGTTGTTGTTTCAGCTGGGATAGAATTATTTGTTGTGGCTTAAATTGTGCCAACACTTCTTAGTTGATCTACCAAAAACACAAGGAAAGGGTTTAGGATTGTTTCCATATTGTCTCCATTATTTGCAATGGTGCACTGAAGAGATGGAGGGGTCAAAGACTATTCTGTTGGTTCCCCCATCAGTTTGTTTCTTATGCAATTTAGACTTGTTGATAAGAAGGTTGAGGCTCCAAAAAAATAATCCATTTTATTGGCAAGAGTAATTTATACAGTTCCTCTATTCCTTCCATTTGATTAGACAAATAATTTTCTTAAAGACTGTGAGTTTCTATCATCATCATCATCATCATTCCATTTTGAGCACTAATAATTACCTCAGACCCTATCCTTTCATCCGTTAGGCTAGGGTTGTATTGATGAAAACAGAGGCAAATTATTTAGAGACTCTTTACCAGGTAGGCTCAGGAAACAACATTCTGTCACAATCAAGTCTTTTTAACTTTGAGACTGTGGGCTTCAGGTGAGATGTCAGAAACGATCTACTGCGCTTTGAGGACGTTAGGTGGCACTGTGTGGTTATTGATGAAACCCAGAAGAAACTACAGTCAATGACAAGCCTATGTGAAATTCATACTCGGAAGTACTACTAAAACACATGACTGTATTTGTGGCCTACATAGGGGACATAGGTCAATAATAGATGCTGTAATTCTGTCACATAATAGGAATCCATTGTTTAATGTGCAGCTTTTTAGAGTAAACAAGATTCTGAATTCTTCTCATAAATCTCATAAATTATGGCTTAAATTTTCATACAGGAGAAAACAAAAAAAAGCTTCAGAGTAGGAAAAAAGCAAAATAGCAAAGAGTATTGTTCAAGGGTCAAATGTAGGTCAGTCCAAGAGCCACTTTCCTTCAGTGACTGTAAATACTTCAATTTACTTTTATTATGCTAGTGCCATTGATGTTTCAAATACAGGCCCGTGCTTCCCTCCCTGTAAACAGATTTGTGCACCAGCATGGAGCACACATGATGTGAAAAGAAATGTAAAATTCATTCTTCTACTAATATCATCCTGAACTAATAGTGTTCTCAGATAATCCTGGAAGTCAGGGAAGACAACAAAGAGTACATTTTAACAAAGCAAATACATTGTGCATAATTTCTCTAGGATTTTTCCGACAGTCAAGCTTCCTCCAATTGCTTTAAAAAAGTACAAGTAACGTATTTCGCATGCCAGGATTTTACTGGCCTGAATAGGATCTGTTTATTGAGTATCTGTCCTCTCAACTAATTACAAAATATTCAGCAAATATTTGAATTTATTACTTATCTTCCCACAAATTAGTGTATCTCTGTTTAACAAATGGAGTTCACTGCTCTTGCCCTCAAGGTAAAGTATACATTGCAATCTCTCTTTTGCAGACGGTCTGAAAGCCAACCTTTTCTAAGTGAACCAACAGTTGAAAATGATCTCTGTAAATCAGTAAAGGAAGAGAATTTGCCATGTTGCATCTGATACTCCAATTTAAGGCACAAACAACTCAAAGCTCAATAATGATGTTTAACTCATACAACACATGCTTTGGGGCTTTATAGTATTTTAGTAGATGTTTAGCATGTTGAAGTTTAACATACTATGCTCTGGGACTCAGAAAAACCTCAGCTGTAACAAATCAACAAAATATGTAGTATTCTGAGCTATATTGATTTTGTTCCTTTATATCCTATTTCTGTTGTGTTTAGAGATATGTTCTCTCTTAGTTCCTTAAGATTTGGATGAAATATAAATAAAATTTTTAACATATGAAAGTAAGCAAGGACTAAACAAAAACACTATAGGATTTTTATAACATAAGATAATGGCTCATCCAAACCATCAAACGTCTGGCTTATGGACATGAGGTATTTTCAGAAGTATGTTAATGATGAGGTGCCTTGATTTTTGACCTTATAAATTGTTAAATATTTTTGAAAATTTGTCATAATATTCAAAATCAAAATAAGAGCTGTGTATTAAACTGATGATGCATTAGCTGCATAAACACCCCTTGGTTATTCTTTGCAGAAACCCAACGGTCTTTAACATTCCTATATTATGAACAAAAAGTGATGGGAAAAATTACCACAAGAATATGACTAACAAACTAGATGACTTTCAGCAGTCATGCATCAGTGTAATATCCATGCT